GATATTAAAAGCATCAAATTAGAAAGAAAGAAGTAAAACTGTCTTTATGATATCATCTATGTAGAAAGTTCCAAGATCCATACACACCAAGAAACATTGCTAAGAATAATGAACATGTTTTTAAAAGTTACAAGGATCCAAACCAATATACAAAAATTAACTATTTTTGTATATACTGGAAATGAGCAACCTAAAAACATAAAACTAAGGAACAATTCCATTCACAATAGCCTCAAAAGAATAAAATAGTTGAGTATAAATATAATAAGTATATAATTTATACAATGAAAAGAATTCACTGAGAGAAACTAGATCTGAATAAATAAGCATCACGCATCAATAGCTTGGTAGATTCTCTTCTAAGATGGTAATTCTCCCAAAAGTGATCTTTAGATTCAACACACTTCCTATCTAAATCTCAGCAGATTTTTTTAAAGGAATTGACGAGCTAATCTTATATTTTACATGGAAAAAAAAAGTAGAAATAGTCAAGACAGAAAAGAACTGAGCTTGAGGACTTAGATCATTTTGTTAAAAAATATTATAAATCTATAGTAATCGGTATAGTGTGGTATTGGCGTGATATCTAAAGGCACATAGATCAGTAGAACAAAAGAGTCTAGATACAAGTCCTTTATCAGATATGTGATTAGCAGATCTTTGCTTCCAACTGTCACTTGTGTTTTTATTCTCTCAGGGGCATCAGGGAAAACCCCTTACATTGTACACAAATTGGCTTTCAAAAAAGTACCCAAACCATTCACTAGGTAAAGAACAGTCTTTTCAACAAATTATGTTAAGACTATTAGAAATCTATGTGCAGAACAAAACAAACAGACTCAAAAATGAACTCCAAAATTTATTATAAATCGAAATAAACCACTAAACCTATACAGATTTGGAAGAATAGGAGAAAATCTTCATGTCTTTGGATTAGATGGAATTTTTGATATGACACCAAAAGTTCAAGGCTATAAAAAAATCAGTAAATTAGAGTTAATGAAAACTAAGAATTTCTGCTCTCTGGAAAAAAATGCTAAGAGACTAAGAAGGCGAATGCAGATTGAGAGAAAAGATCTGCAGATCATCTATCTGATAAAAGACTTGCATTTTAGAATAACAAACTCTTAGAATTTAGTAAAAAACCCATTTCAAGTAGGCAAATAAAAGCCACAACTGAATAGACATTCTGCTTAAGAATATAAAGGGGCTGGGTATGGAGCTCTATGGTAGAGCACTTGTCTAGCATGTGCAAGGCCCCAGTTTAGTCTGCAGCACTGCCAGAAATCAAACAAAGAGTGTTTAGAAAGGGCTAATAGGAAAAGGTGTTCAACCTCATCAGTTTCTAGAAAAAAAAATTATAAGTACTAAAGAGATCCCATTAGAATTTATACACACTCGAACAATAGTAATCAAAAGACAGAGGCTGGGCATGGTGATTCTTGCCTTTAATTCCAGCACTCAGAAGGCAGAGGCAAGCCGATCTTTGTGAGACTGAGGCCAGCCTGTTCTACATAGTAAATTCCAGACTAGCTGGGGCTACAGGGAGACCCTGTCTCAAAACAAAACAGAAAAACAAAGCAAAACAAAACAAAAAGATGGACAATACCAAATATTGACAAAGATGTGAAGAAAAACTAAAACACTCTTTCGCTGCTAATGAAAATATAAAATGATACAGACCGCTGGAAAACAGTTTCATTGTTTTTGTTTTTTACTTCCTTGTTTAGATTTATTCCAAGATCTTTTTGAGGCTATTAGGAATGGGATTATTTGTCTGATTTCTTTCTCAGTATGTTTGCCATTAGTATATAGAAAGCCTACTGATTATTTGTGTATTAATTTTGTATCCTGATGCCTTGCTTAATGTGTTCATCAGATCTAGGAGTTTTCTGCTGGAGTCTTTTGGGTCTTTTATGTATAGAATCATATCATCTGCAAATATGGATATTTTGACCTTACTGTCATCTTTGTATCTTATTTTCTTCACTTGTCTTACTGCTCTAGCCAAGATGTCAAGCACCACATTGAACAAGAAAGGCAAGAGTGGATATCTTTATCTTACTTCTAATTGTCATCAAAATGATTTGAGTTTTTCTCCATTTAGCACAGTTTGCTGTGGGCTTGTTGTAAATTGTCTTTATTATGTTGAGATATATCCACTGTATCACTAGATTCTCCAATGCTTTGATCAGGAAGATACTGGATTTTGATAAAACAGTTTTCTGTATCTAATGAAATCTTTGAGATCTAATGAGGTCCTTGAGTGTATTTATATGGTGGTTTATGTTTTTTTGGTTTATGTATGTTATATTACCCCTGTATGTCTGGGATGTAGCTGACCTGATAGTGGTGGCTGATCTTTTTAATGTGTTCTTGAATTTAGTTTACACTTATTTTATTGGAAATTTTTACATATTTGTTTACCAGGGAGATAGGCCTGTGATTCTCCTTTTTTGTTGGATCTTTATCTGGTTTGCTTATCAGGTCAGGGTAATACTGTCTACACAAAGGGACTTTGTAAATGTTTCTTCCTTTTTTAATCAAAGAGTATTGGTGTTAATTAGTCTTAGAAATTCTGGTAGAATTCTGCACAGAATCTATCTGACCCTGGGCTTATGTTAGTTGGGAGATTTTTTTTTTTCAATTTTATGTATATGATTGTTTTGCCTGCATGTGTGTAAGTGTACCAAGTGCATACAGTGCCCACTGAGGTCAGAAGAGGATTTCAGATCCCCTGGAACTGTAGTTTCAGGTGGTTGTTAGTTGCCATGTGGGTTTTGGGAACCAAACCCAGGTCCTCTGTAAGAGCAGCCAGTGCTCTTAATCACTCAGCCCCAGTTGGGAGATTTTTAATTCCTGCTTCTATCTCATTTGTTGTTATTAGTCTATTTAAAAATTTACTTCATCTTGGTTTAAATTTGGTAAGTCTTGGGACTGGAGAGATGGTTTAGTGGTTAAGAGCACTGATTGCTCTTGCAGAGGACCTAGGTTCGATTCCCAGCACCCATATGGCGGCTACGAACCATCCTTGACTCCAGTTCCAGGGGAATCCAAAGCCCTCTTCTGACCTCTGTGGCATTGCACAACACGGGTGCACTCACATACATGCAGGCAATACACTCGTACACATAAAATAAATAAATAAATAAAATATTTTTAAAAACAAATAAATTTGGTAAGTCTTGTATGTCTAAAACTCCATCCATGTCTTAAATTTTCCAGTTTATTGGAATATAAATTTTGAAAATACGACTTCTGATTCTTTGAATTTCCCCTTCTGTGATGTCACCACTTTCGCTTCTAATTTTATTAAATTGGATCTTCTCTATTTTTCTTTAATTGGGCTAAAGGTTTGTGAATTTTGTTAATCTCAAAGAACCAACTTCATTTTATTCTTTATAGTGAATTTTCATTTCTACCCTTGATTATCCTCTCCATCTGTTAGATTTTTGGGTCTTTTTCTTACTAGATAATTATTTTAAATTGAATTTTTATAATTTTCATACAATATAATTTGGTAATATTTTTCCCTTATCTGTACCTCCTCTTATTTCCCCCTGCCCAATTTAATGTACTCTAATATATATAAAATAAGGCCTGTAGAGTCTAGTTTCTGTCCCCAGATGTCCTTCAGTGGGGGTCTATCCATTGGAACCTGGTTAATCTACCAACAGTTCCATCTTTGAAAGAGAAGGCTTCTCCCCGTTCCATCAGTTGCCAAAATTTCCTTAGGTTGACTTGGGGTTTCTTACCCATTTCTCTATTTCTATGCTGGGATTTTCTCTGGTTTGAGCTTGCATGGAACTTGTACATGCTATCACTATTGCAGTGAGTTCATCTGAATAACTTGACCAGCTGTCTGGAAAACTGTTTCCTTGTCATCATTCACTGCCTCTGGCTCTTATCTTTCTGTCCCCCTTTCCACACTAATCCCTGAGCCTTTCGAAGCAGAAGTTTGATATAGATGTCCTATTTAGGAATAAGCACTCTGTGGCCTCTTGTTCTCTGGAATTGACCAGTTGTGGGTTTCTGTGTTAATCACCATCTGTTGCATAAGGAAACTTCTCTGGTGAGAGTAGAGAGATATGTTAATAAATGGGTATAACAAGTCATTAGGAGTCAGTTTAATTTGGTAACTATTTAGAAAAAGACTAGTATTAGGATCTCTCTTATGTCCTGTGTCTGTTCGTGTGAGAATAGAATGTATTAATAAAAAGAATGAGGATTGCTGTGTGCCACCATGTGAATGACCCTTGAAGACACTATGCTAAGAGAATGAAGTCAGACTCAAAGACCACAGTTGGTGTGATTCCATCCATCTGCAGTTTCCAGGAAAGGCAGATTTGTAGAGACAGAGCAGATCACAAGGCTGGGGTGAGAATAGACCTGCTGTAAAGTGCTGCAAGGGAACTGTCTGGAAGGTTCTAAGTCTACATTGTAGTCTTCAGTTACACCTCTGTAAACTAAAAGTCATCGGGTTATGCTCTTTAGCTAGAAAATTTTGTGATATGTAACTTATACTTTGACAAAGCCATATTTAAAGGAATTTTCCCACTTGACCTTTATTTGTGCTTAAAATTTGAAAGTTCTTCTAAATTCTGACTTAACAAGGATTAATCTTTTAATATTGTCGCATATATTGTGATTTGTGTGTTTAATATTACCAATCTCACAAGAGTAACAGCTTTGAAAGAAATACCTATTTGCATGCAGGCCTTTGTTTCAAACACGTCTTTCTGGCATCTCACTTTCTCACTTCTAGCTAAGTGATTTATTTCCCCACCAAAGTTACTGCTCATTTTGTTTTGCAGTCTTGTCTTTAAAAGATTTTTCCCCCTCAGGTTGATATTAACTTTTAGAAACAACGTGGAGTAATTTTATATGTTTTTGTATCTTTTGTTAAGCTTTTTAATTATGTTTTCTCAATGAAAATATAAAGTCTTGTTTCTGAAACACAACATGTTTAAATCGTATGCTTATCATTCCTTTCAAAATAGAATACGCTTCCCTGGGATCCCTGTATGATTACATTAACAGTAACAGAAGTGAAGAGATGGATATGGATCATATCATGACCTGGGCCACCGATGTCGCTAAAGGTAGTACTGCTAAACAATTGGGGCAGTATTTTCCCACTCTGACCTGGGATATTATATCAGAAAGTTGTTTATTCTATATCTTTAGATACTTTTTTCAGATCAAATCTAATAAAAAGTTTCAACTTACTGTACAGATAATGTCTTAGGTCATTGCTTTCTACTACTGAATTCCTTCTGCCTGTTTTCTGTCTTCTTCAGTTCTTTCTATAAAATTAAGTTCTATAAAGCCAGTAAACTACAGGGCAGATAGTTTTGCTATGTTTTGTGACACTGTAATTTAACAAGCTTACTTTTTACAACTAAAAAAAATTATAGTTCTGTTGTTTTTGAAAATCTCTAAAAATGTGATTTATTGTAGGATTAGTCCTATTCCTGTTTCATACATGATAATGTGCTGAAAATATTAAGCACTTGACAGAAAAGTTTATTTGTCCTGGTGTGTAAAAGTAACCCAGATTTTATTTTATATGTAATGCAAGCTTGGGCATCACTCTTGGAAATGAATTGTTCTTAATATACAAAGTCCCAACCAGGTACCTGTTTCTTTGCCCCCAGCAATTACTGCATAGATTATTGCTTTCTAAAGCAATTCAAATTCTATTAATTTTTATCTTTTTTTACACTTCTTACCTGAGCAGTTTTAGCTTTATTCATACTGTCAGGGTTGTGTTGAAAACAACTTGATCTCAGTAATGAATGCTGATCATCACATTTGTATTCCAGAGTCCTCTAGGTAGCAAGTGGTCTGCACTCTACCTGGGTAATTAGCTCCTTTGCATCTTACTCTCTTCTCTACAAGCATCTCTTTACAAAGCAAACATATAATGCTACTTAGCACCCAGTAAGGTATCTTAAAGATTTACTCCGTAAGGGGAGTAACTTATATTTTGCTGTTATGACAAAGGCCAAAATACATAATGACTTCTAAGTAATAGCCTGCCCTTTTGGGAATTAATCTTGGCTGTTTTAAGGTTTATGAACACTTTCTAAATTCTTCAAATAGGGAAAGTTAAGAAAAAAACTTAAGTTTTATGCTAGACGTTAACACTTCATTACCTATCAGAATAATAGCTCTGTGTTTTAGATGGAATTCTTAAATCTTTGACTGTGTTAATGAACTTACTTATGTATTCATGTATCAGACATCTCAAATTAGTGTGAAGACTTCATGTTCTTGAAAATATTTTCATGTAATATCATAGTCTCTTCTTTGCATGTCTGCCATACACAAGAACCACCTGTGTGTAAGCAAGGTGACATGCTGTTACTGGGAGTTGTCAGCAGCATTGTGGAAATTCCTTTAGTAAATGTAAACACACGATCCTAAGGACACTTTTACGTTACTGACATTTATGTTTTGGGTGCTCAGTCAGTTACATTCACATTATTATTTAATGGCACTTAGGATGGATAGGTAGCAAACAAATCAAGCTACTTCCATTACTTGGCTTCCAGTTGTGTTCTCTCTCATTTCCAGTTCCTTGCTGCTGCACCCGCACTACCCTCTGCCACACTATCCTATCTGAAGGCGAAATCTCTTGACTCCAGAATAGCACTGCCATTCTCTCAAGTGTTTCAAGAGGGCTGGTACTCTGCTTTAGAAGAGCAAGGAAGAGAAGGAGCAGAATTAACTAGCATACTAGAACCAGAGGTGCAAGATAAGGAAAGAAAGAACAGAGTCCCATCTGCTTGGTAATAAGATCCCTCTTGCCCAGTGGGTGAATTAATCTGAAAGAAAAATGCTCATGTGTTTGGCCTCAGCTGAAACTAGGCCTGTTTATTTAGAAACATTAGTAGTGTGTTACATGTAAAAACCCTTTAAGATGTCCTATAAAAGAAAAAAGAAATCAGTGCTTTAAGATTGACTTCAACCTTCTCCAGTACAACTTAGGGTAAAATTTAGAGATTCAGTAGGAAAGATTGACTCTTGTGGGTTCTGTTTCAAATTCAGCCTGTGTACCTTTCAGTTTGACTGTGATTGAAGCTACTGAAGCAATAGTATGTTGAAAAATCAAAGAATGAATAATTCATTCTAAGAGTTGACTCATGCATTTGGAAATAGGCATTGCCCAATAGCATTGCTCTTGAGAGTACATCCTCAAAGCTGCAAAGATTCTTTTTCTTCTGATTGGGAAGAGGACTGGGAATGGACCAGCAAGACATTTGAGATCGACTACAAGGAACAATTAGAGCAGACCAGCTTGAATCCAGCCTCAATCCAAAGCTCCCCCCAAATCTTCACAATGGTACTGGTCAGATCTTAAGAAACCCTGAATGGTTAAACCATATGAAAGTACTTTTCAAACTTTTTAATGATCTACAATAAAAATAAGACTCTATAAAAAATTAAATAGAATTTTTATGTATTAAAATATACACTAAACACCTTTTAATTTTATGCTGTGCATTGTATGCAAATACTTTATGGCACTCTTTCTTTTCATAGTATGCAATGGGGAAGAAAAGTGGCAATGTTTTAAGCTTTTATACTTGAGTCTTCCCTTTTGAAATCCTTACTTGTCCGCAAGTGTAAAAACTATTCTTGCTTCTAATTGTAGCAAAATGGATTATACCTGAAAAATTATTCAGAAATTTGATTTTAAAGCAAGGAAGAAATAACTATGAAATTCAGTCATACAGACTATTAAATGTCATACAAGTAGTAGCTATTGAACTTTTACAGTTTGAATATGTGGAACTTGCTATTAAATGCAATTCTCTTTATCCCAGTTACGTCTTGCTTAAGATCATTTAAATTACTAACACTTTTGTTAATTTGACTCATTTCAGTGACAGCATTATATAGCCAGAGTTAAAATCTTATTTTCTTTGTTCTTTCGTAATTCCTCAATATATAATAATCAGAATAGTAGAATAATAATATATCATTAATAAATTAACCTTTATTAAATTGTAATATTCTGTGTACTTTAAAAGCCAAACCTACTTATTAAATTATTTTCAATGGGTGACTCCTGTTTCATGTGGTGTGAGGAAGGACTATTTCTTCCACCATTTGGAAAAGAGAACTTGAAAATGAAGGGAGAGGAAATATTCAGTAGAAAAAGAGCTTCTCTCTATATTCTGTTTATATTCATGAATACAGAAGGAACAGAACACTTTCAAGGAGGTAGCCATGAACTATGTATTAAAATGTAATTTCTGATTCAGAATAATAAAACCATTTGTATTTTATATACCCAGTTTATAGAGTATCTTAATTTATATTATAAATATATTAGAAGGAATTTTGGCATATACTTAAATATAGATTATCTTAAAGATTTATTTTTGTGAAGAGAAGAAAATAGTTTGTAGCAACTGTATATCAATCGGGAGATCACTAAGTCTCTACTGCCGTCACTAATCAGTGGATCAGCTCCCTACCCCTGCCCTGTCTTCATTCCCAGGGCTTATTGAGGAATAGAGCTACAGTGGAGTGACTGCAGACATCCAGATTAGAACCCAGGAGCCTGGTCAGAACTTTGGCAGATGTAGGCCATCTTGGTTGTGGAGTACCTTGGTCACAGAGCATTTCTTCCAGGGGTTACTGTGCTATTTTCATGAAGACTCCAGAAAATTAAGGTGTCTTTATTAGGTATCCTAAGAAACTTAATTCCACAGCCAAATTCCATTTCTGTTTTACTTAAAAGAATGCTGCTAATGCAGATATATGCTATCTTTCTTTTATTGAGCATGGAAGAGTGGAACATGTGGATTTATTTTCTGCTGCTGATTTCTTTGCAAATTGTAAATGGTAATACTGATGCAATATTGAAAGACATTAATAGATCTTTTTCCTTCTTGTATGAAAAGGGATGCACTATTTACACATGGAGGCTCCCGTCAAGGTCATTCACAGAGATCTCAAGTCAAGAAACGGTAATGTGATCATACCTGTTTATCTATATATTATACACACCTGTTTATAAAAATAAGTATCAGGTTCCACATGTCATTTATAACTTGTTGTTCAATCCTCCACTTATACCATGACAATACTTCCACTGTCAGTAAATATCAAAATTCATTATAGTATCTGAAGAAGGTGCATACTGTTCTTCCATATGAATTATAACACAGAATGTAGACATTTGGATTGTTTACATTTTTTCTTTTTTTGTTGTTTTTTGGTTTTTAAAAATATTATTTTCATTTTATGTTATGAGTGTATTGCCTGCGTGTGTGTAAGTGCACCTGTATCATGCAGTGCCCTCAGAGGTCAGAAGAAGGCATCAGATCTCCTGGAACTGGAATTATGGATGGTTGTTAGTCTCCATGTGGGTGCTGGGAATTTTACCTGGGTACTCTGCAAGAGCAGTCAGTGAGCCACCTCTCCAGCTCATACATTTTTTTCTAAAATAAGAAATGTGTAGCTTAATACCTTTTAGCCAAATTTTTTAACACATCTCTAATTATTTCCTTAGGATAATTTTCTAAGGAATATCACGAGGACAAAGTGTGTTGTCATGTATTTAAGTCTTCTATTTTTAGATGTTTCCCTTTACCAGCAATTTTGAGTTTCACTTCTGAATTATATAGTGTAAATTTTTTGTGTCACTCTTGCCTGTACTACCTGGAGTAGTGCCTAGAGATGGCCAGCGTGCCTGAGAGTTTAGAAAGTAAAGGATCTCCATTTCTTCTTTCTCTTCTTCCATACTTTCTATAGTTTATTTATAATCCTATATTTATCATTTGGAGAGTGAGAATTTTAAAATAGCATGCAGGATTAGACATTACTTTCTTCCATTATGTCACCTCTAAGTTATCAGGGAAGGGCAGTAGGATTATTTAGCTTTAGCTAAGTAAACAGAGTTCGCTACTTAATTTAAAAAAAAAAAAAGGAGAGAGAGCCATGCTATCAATTATTTCCATACTTTTGAAATAGCTCTCAGTAAGGAGGAGAACCATTTATTTTTAGAAATTGTTACAGAACTACAGCTAAAAGTAATTTCTACTACTGTGATCCTTAGATAGGTAGTGATGGCAATTAGGGGAAAAGGACAGGGCCATGTACCCTGCTCACACTTGGGACCCCGAGTCTGTGTCTGACAGGTGATGGGGCAGGTGGGGCTGGAAGCTGTAGGCAACTGCCACTCAGCAGGAATCCAGGCTGACCCTACCTTAACCTTGCTGGTTGACTCAGCTGATTGTTCTGTGTTCTTCTGGGTCTTGGCTTATCTTTTGGATCTTTGTAGATACTTCTGGAACTACACACATATAGTGACATATAATTGGCTAATAGAAAGTCACTAGCAAATAATCTATCATCTAAGAGGAAATAACAGTTTTATGACTAAATTTTCAGTTCATTCTATGAATTTCAATCTAAACAAGTGCTTTGATTTTTTTTATCCTTTTAGTTAGCATAAAGACTATATAATGGAGAATTCTCCATATTTTACAAGTTACAATTTTTGTAATTACTTAATAGGAAAACATATACACTAACATCAAAAGAATATCAGATTAACTATTTGCAATTTGTTTTTACTGAGAGAAAGAATGAGACTATTTTCTATATTAATTTTTTTAATCCTCTCACCACCACATGTATGAGTGGTGCACGCATGTGCGTGTGCACACACATGTCCACACACCCACCTATACACACACCATAGCACACAAATAACAAATAAAATTTTACTCATTTTTATTACATTTATTTATCTATCTGTGTGTGTGTGTATGTATGTATGTGTGTGTCTGCGTGTGTGTGCATGCACCACAGCACACTTGTGGAGGTGAGAAGACAAATTTGTGGAGTCAGTGGTTCTCTCCTTCTCCCTTGACATGGGTCCTTGGGATTGAACTCAGGTCATCGGGCTTTCATGGCAAGTCCTTTTACCCACTGAGCCATCTCATCAGTTCCTATATTAAATATTTTTATAATTTTATTTTTAAATGAGCACTTGATAATTTTATATTAAGAAAAAGGAGCCAGAAAGAAAGAGGAAAAAAGAATAAAGATATATTTTAAAGCAATTTTAATATCATAGCAATATTTATTTACATTTATACTTGCAAAAACTTGTACCTCATTATTCCTAATACGATGTTTGCTTTGAGGATATTTTTATATATTAGATTATGCAGAATATTTTCTTTACTTATTGAAAGCATTATCGACAGAAGCTGTATTGATCATCCACTGTACTGAAGGTTCTGGGTGACTTAGAAAACAAATCCTAGAGACGCTTATTTGGGCTTCTGTCTTGGCCTCCTCTCTTCTTGTCTTCCTACTCCCATAAAAGCCCTACTTTCATATCAAAGTAGATCCATTGCCAAACAGATCTCAACATCAAAACTATTTATTAGACATAAATATTTCACATGAACTAAAAATGTATTATGTCCTAACTGATCTTTTCAGCTTCTCCCTCCTTCCTTAAAAAGTCATCCCTATATTCCCTTTCTCAGGGAGCTTAATACCAGTTGTCTAAGCCAGAGATTAAATAAAAAAGAATTGACAGTTTGAATCCAGAGCTCCTATTCTAACCATTATACTATTTTGCCTGTTCACTTAATTTCATCTTTGAGCCCCCTCCCCACCACATGCAGCTATTCATCAAGCCCAGCTGATCTGTATCCTAAATATTGCTCAGCTCAGCCCTCTAATCTCCCCTCCTTTCTCCTGGCTGAGTGCTACCATCCTCATTTTCTCTCAGACCACAACCGCTTTTATGCACAACCCCTCTTTGCTTCTTGTTCTAGTTTCTGATGCAGGGTACCCCTGCATGTTGGCTCCTTTCTTTCCTCCATAAAACATTGCTTGTGGCCTTGCATTTCTCACAAGAGCTCTTCTTGAATTGGCTCCTGCCTTCCAAAACTGCTGTGTCTTTACCTCTGAACCTGCACTTTTCTCCTCTGCAAAGACTTGCCTTTCCAAGCTCTCTGCTTTCTGGTTAGCTCCTGTGCCTTCAAGTATATATCCTTTCTTCCCAGAAACCTCATCCAACCTCCCTAGACTTTGATGTTCCTATTAATTAGTTCTTTAATACAATCTCTTTATTTCATCATGGAATTTTATCCCACTTTATTATAGCTATTTAATGGTCTCTCTGATAACTGGAAATTCCATGACAGGAGAGACAGTGGCAGCCTTGCTCACCTTTCTGTTCAGAGCACATACATGGCCTTGCCCATAGTTGGTGCTCAGCAAATGGTTGTTAATAGATATGTAAGTGAATGAGTGAATATTGTCTCTGCCTTTAAGAACATTATTCTTCAATTGGAAAGAAAACTGATGTAGACTATAAAGAAAAATGCTGGTGACTGTCCAGCATCACATCGGCATTCAGCCTGGCGAGTCCAGGTAAAGATGTGCTTCCCTGTCTTTTTTTCTTCTCCTCACTGCATTTGTATAATACAAATATCTGAAAAGCTATTTAAATCAGCACTTGATGGAATTAAGCTTTAGTTTTAATATTAGCTTCCTTTTACAAACTATCCAGATCAGTAAATACTTGGATTTTACTTTTTACAATGCAAAATTATAATTTATTTTTATTTTTGAGACAAGGTCTAGCTGTGCAGCACTGGCTGGTTTGGTACTCACTGTGTAGCCCAGGCTGGCCTCAAACTCATGGCAGTCTTCTTGCCTCCGTCTCCAAAGTACTGGGATTACAGGCACCCACCAGCATGGCAGCTTATATCATGAAATTAGAAATTTAGCCATATCAAAGCTGGAAATGTAAAATTGTGCATTTTTTTCACTATAGGACAATTCAAACAAAATGGTTATTTATAATTTCTCTCTCTTTGTTTAGTTGTTATTGCTGCCGATGGAGTTTTGAAGGTAGGACTATTTCCTCTTAATTTTAAGAAACTTGTTAACTTCTCATGTAAGATCTTGTAACTGATAGTTTCCTGTTAACAGTAAGTACAAAGTTGATATTGGTTCCTGTGTCCTCAGATCTGTGATTTTGGTGCCTCTCGGTTCCATAACCATACAACACACATGTCCTTGGTTGGAACTTTCCCATGGATGGCTCCAGAAGTTATCCAGAGTCTTCCTGTGTCTGAAACCTGTGACACATATTCCTATGGTGTGGTGAGTGTTTCTCGTTTATTGTTTACCAAAAGAAATACAGAGCACAAACAGCCCAGACAAGAATGTAGCCACAGTTTAACTGGTTCTGTCTGAAACCAGACCTCTATTCCTGGAGGAGTACCTACAAGGAGACATAGGGAGAGCACTTTCTAATGGTCCTCTTCTTCCCCTCCTCCTCTTCTTCCCCTCCTCCTCCTGTCTCCCTCCTCCTCTTCTGCATAAAAATATATAAACATACTTTTTTTGTTTTTTTAATTTTTTGTTTATGATGGGGTCTCCCTAGTCCCAGCCCACCTGGAAGTCACCATGTGGATTAGGTTGGCCTCAATTTCAGAGATCAGCCTGCCTCTGCCTTCCGAGGGCTAGGACTAAAGGCACACGCCATGGTGCCTGGCATGTATAAAAATATATAAATATATTTAGATGGCCTTGGTTTTAAATTAGTTTGCACAGTTAATCAGATGACTTCTGTGGTTTATTTTCATACTCCATCAGGCCCTATAGTGTGCTTACTTTGAGAAAATTCTCCCTAGGTCTTGGAATTTCCCTGTTAGAAATTTTTGACCTAAAGTCACATCTGTGAGTTATACATAGAATGAACTTTTGGTTTCAATATTATTTCATTTATGAAAATAAACTATCACTTTTTTTCAGAAGTTTGAGCTGACTTTTGACATGCACCCATCTGCTTTTCCTTGAGAAAGTGCCACCTTGGTTATCTGTAACCAAGAATTAATGCCTTTTCCCACAGAAATCATCGACGTTGAGTGATGACTTCTGATGCCAAGCTAAGGATCTTTCCTGTGTCTTTAAAATCCCTCTGGCACAGTCCTCATTGACCACTTCTTTAAACATGATCTGAATCTATCTTTCTGGAGCTACAAGTTTTTCATTTGTTTGTTAAAAACCTTTCACTCAAGAGACTTTTCAGAAGGACCTGAAGGTGTACAGATGAGGACTTCAGTCTACATGTTTACAGACCTTACCTTTGTAGCCCTGGCCAGCTTAAGACTCACAGTATAGACCAGGTTGGTCTAGAAAGTGCTGGGATCAAAGGCATGTGCCACCACAGTCAGCTGGGAGAGAAATTTAACAGATGCTTAACAAACCATTCCCTCAAGCAACTCACCTTCCTGAAGCAAAGCTGCCCCTCCCCCGCATCCAGGGCCTGCACATAGCCAGGGCTGCTCCATGCTGCACACCAGGTGTTGCTCTGCAGAACCTGACTGCCCAGCGTCCACTATTCATCTCAATTCCACCTGAATGTTAGCCTTTTCTCCCATGATTGGTTGAAACAGAAATACTTCCCGTAACTAGTTAAAAAAAAGCTTACAACTGCCTGTAACTCCTGCTCCAGGGAATCTGATGCCCTCTTCTGCCTCCTGGGGCACCCATACATAGAGGGCATTCATACAGACACATACACACATTCACTTGAATAAAAATAAATCTTAAAAAAATGATAACAAAACCAGCTTCTGGGCCTGTGAGATGACTCAGCAGGAAAGGCATTTGCTACCAAGCCTTGAGGACCTGAGTTCAGTCCCTGAGATCCCCATGTGCTGTTCTCTGACCTCCACAGGCACACCATGGCACACTTGTGCGCACACACACACACACACACACACACACACTAAATAGAAGTAAAAACATCTTTGGTTATTTATCTGTCTTAAAGTAAAAGTTTTGCTGAGAATGCAGGATTGCCACACACAGAGAGCTGTATCAGCAGCAACTCCAGAGGAGTTTATGCATGCTAATATAATTATAAACAAGAATTCAGGATTGCATTTAATGCTGCCCCATGATATGTTCATTCTAAATAAACATTAGTGAAAGGGAAAGGGAAAGGCTGGTCTCCAGAACCTTTTGGTTTAAACACTTTTTTTAAAAAACAAAGAGGATATTGTGTGTTCTCAGCAGATAGGATATCACGGAGAGGGAGCGAATAGTTGTTCCAGTTGAGGCCGAGTTAGGATTAGAAGTTTTGTATCCTCAAACTTTGGAAAATGGCGCCAACCTAGAAAAACAATGTAGTTAGAATTTCTGTTTTCCTTCGAAAGGAGGAGCATCATTCTTACATAAAATACCTCATAGTTCATTAAGGTTGAGTGAACAGGGCCATCACAGTTAGTTTTTGAAACTCATCCTAGTTAGCCTTTCTGCTACTGTGATAAACACCATGACCAAAGGCAACTTGAGGAAGAAAGGGTTTATTTCATCCTACACAGTATAATCTGCCATCCAGGGAGGCTAAGGCAGAAACTGAAGCAGAAACCACAGAAGAGTGCTGCTTACTGCCTTGCTTCACCTGGCTTGCTTAGCTTCCTTTCTTCTACAGTCCAGGGTCACCCGCCTAGGGATGGTACCACCCATGGTGGGCTAAGCCCCCATACGTCAATTAGCAATGAAGAAAATGCTCAGAGGCCAGTCTGAGTAACGGAATTCTTCAGGTGAGGTTTGGTCTTTCCAGCTTTCTCTAGTTTGTGTCAAGTTGACAAAAACTATCCAGCACATCATCCAAAAACTGTCCTATATCTTTGCCTTTAGCTCTTTTCAGCGTGAGACACTTGTGTTGCGTCTTAATAACACATGGCAAGACTGACTAGCCTTGCACTGCCTAACAATAAAATTTTGTTCAAGGCTAGAAATGGACTCGTGATCCTTGTTTTTAAGAAGTTAACAGAGCAGACAGACGATTGTCTTCTCTCCATTTTACAAGAAAGAGACTTTTGTACACTCCTGGGATAACTTCTCTTAAAAGATTGAAACTGAAAGTATATTTAGTATGTAATCTGGAAGAAGAGAAAAGAGCAAAAATCATTGAAAGAATAGCCTTTTGAGAACGCAAGGCCTGCTACTCTCTGAAAACAAAGCTATCCTAATGACAATGCAGAAAGGATTACCTTCCTAGGAGCTTCTTAGCCAAAGCCAGCTTTGACTTGCAGTAGCTTAAGAGGCAGCTACTGTGGCTTGTCTGTGAGCCCTGTTCCAGAACCAGCCAGGCTCAGGTAACAGCTTCCTATTGTTTATGAGAGAAAAGGCAGGAGGAATACACAGCCTCATCCAAGTTTCTGTTCTGTAAACTGAAAATAGAAATTTTCCTTGTTAGCACAGTTTAACCGGGAGGACATCTCAGTATACAGTGAGTTGGAAAATATTTTTAAGGTGAAAGATCACGATCATGTTTGGCCTGTGTCCTCATAGCTGTTATTTTAAGGTATCGATTAATGTATTTTTAGACCTCTGAGTGACTTCCTCAACAAACTTAAATTTTGTGCCAAATGTCATTTTACTGAATGTAGAAAAAAGCCATCCCATCTCATTCTACTTACTTTTGGTATACTCCCAGATCTGGAAAATTAATAAAGGAAGTCATGGGATGTGCTAATACTGAACCACATGGAAGGCCTTGTTTGGGTTTCAAAACATGGAGCTGCTGGTGCTTACTGCTGCTGTCTCTGCGGTTTCCAATCCCATGGGTGCCTCCCTGGGCTATCAGTAACCCTTTAGAGATGCAGAGGTAGTGCCAACTGTCCAATTGTTTTCAAGGTTACAACTCTGAATTTCTTTATTAGATTTTTAACACTTTTCAGTGAAACATTTTGGAATAAAACATGAAGAACCAAAATCCTGCTGTTGTTTCTTCAGTGTTACATTTTTACTGTGCAGAATGCATGCAGTCTGTATATGTGTACATGTGTTGTGTGGGTGGTATGTTTACTACCAAACTAAGAAAGGGGGAGGCATGAGCTGCTCACCTGAACACTGGGGAGCATTTGATTTCTTTGAGGTTGACTCCTTATTCCCATTCTCCTTAGGAATACCAAATCTATCAATTTGGTTTCTCTTTATCTCCTTCCCATCCCGCCCCCAGCACCAGCACTGTGGTGACTGAGGGGCTTCATGTCCTGGTCAGCCTCATGCTGCCCACCCTCCTCTGCACAGGCAGTGTGTCAGAGTGCTTGCATACCTGTACTGGCTTCACCCTCCCTTGCTTAGGACCAGCACTAGAATTGTCCCCTTCTGGGATGCCCCTTACCTTTCCCTAATCACTTGTGTGACTCAAATAGAATTATTCAGCAGCTCTTCTGAAAAGTACCTTATACACTTGATTAAAAGCCCAAAAAGACTTCAGTGATCTTTTTTTCTCTCCTGTTTGAGCAGCATCTGCCAATTTCCCTAATTTTCCTGCTAATTATCTTCGTATTAGCCAGCATTCCTTTAACATGTTATGGCTCGAACAAGACTGCAGGCTGCCTGGGGAAACAATGGCTAGACAGTTAAATGTTTATAGGACTTGCTCAATAGAGTCCGTACCTTCTATCTGTAGTCTCATTTAGAAATAGGCTTTTGAGTTTCAAATGAGGGAGAGGGACACCTACACTGGTAAGTTCTTTCTTCTATGTCTGCCTTGGCTACACACCTACAGTCCAGTCCACTGTGTTCTCTCTCGCACTGTATCCCCTTTTCTAGAATTCCATGGGATTAAATCAGAGCATGGCCTTCAAGTGAGAGAGCAAGTGGGTATCCAGCTCTCCCACTTAGTAGCTGAGTGTCTTTAAGCAAGTTCATTTAACATTTCTAAGCACCAGTTTCTCACCTGTAAACTGAGGATCACATCAGAAAGCTTAATATTGATCAAGGTGACGTATGTAATGGAGATCTGAAACATAATAAGCACTCAGTATAGTAGTTACATTAGAGTTATTAATAAAATTATTGCTATTTTTATACTTTGCAGTAGACTGAAATCTGTGATGTTAGGCTAGCATGGTGACACATGCCTCTAATCCTAGCACTTGGAAGGCTGAGAAAGGAAGATCATAAATTCAAGACCAGTCTGGGCTACATAGTGAGATTATCTCAATTTTTTTTTCTTTTTGAATGCCTGTTTGTATAAATAGATAAAATAACTGAATGTCCAAATTCCCTTTACTCGATATTTAAAGAAGAGCCATTCCTAGCACTTGTTTGCTTTCCTGTGCATTCCAGCTCAGGTTCATTGCTATCCTGATCTCTAGTATTATGCAGAGATTGCATATACACATTAACTCACATACACACAGTCACAGTGTATGAATATTGAATGTGTACTACACTTTAGAATATGGTATCCTATATGTATGTACACACACACACATACACACATACACACACACATATGCATATATGAGAGTGGATCCCTTAGACTGATTCATTCTGAAGGAGTGTTCAAACCACAAAATCTAAATGTTATAATTTTCAACTATCTACCATTGTCAGGCAGAGGAGTTTGCTAGTGATTTGAATTGGATGCTCATTATTTTTAATGTGACTGTTATTGAACCTTTAAAAATAGTGTTGAATTTCCAGTTATTATCTGTTTTATTAAACATGTAACAGAGATTGAAGGTAGAAAGACTTTTAAGTAACAAAATACAAAATCTAATTTATGAGAACATGTGAAAATCCTAATGAGTCATAAGATCAAGTTAAATCACTGGTATAAAATTTTAACTAACATTCTAACTTCTAAACCAAGTTTTTTTCTTTATATAAAAAATAACATAAAAGTATATGATATCTGGTAGAAGTCCTGTGCATGAATATATACATTTTGTCTAAGTTTCTACAAATGATTGGTTATGTCTGGTAATTGGATACAATTAAATGTTAGATAAATTTTTAGTACTATCTCTGAAATATAAGGTATCAGAATAAAAATTCCATTTTCTTTTTGTTGCAGGTTCTCTGGGAGATGCTAACAAGGGAGGTCCCCTTTAAAGGTTTGGAAGGATTACAAGTAGCTTGGCTTGTAGTGGAAAAAAACGAGGTAAGACTACGTTTCTCCATTCAGGTACATAGATCAGAAAACAGTATTGGGGTTTTGCAAAAGACTTTTTCATCTTCTTCAAATTGAAAGTAAGTTCACGCTTATGGAAAGATTAGCAGTAGGAGCTAACACAAAGGGTCAAAGTGATGTTATTCCTCATGAATGGACCCTTTACATCTAATTGTTGCAGCCTCACGTCGTGATGCTGTAGATCAAAAATTGTACAAGTACTGTACTAGTTTCTCAGTCTCAATTGTAAAACCTAGGGGTTTGTTCTTAGTGATGAAAGAAGCCATTGCGTCCAAGGTAGGGGAACAGTTTAACTCCATCTCCTGCGTTTAGGACATCTTTTTTACTGGCCGGGAGTTGATATATCTGTAAGAGACCTTCAGCTACTTCAACTTACCTCTCCCAGCAGGAGTCACTATAGTACAAGAAACTGTCGCTTAGATGAGAATTTCAAAAATAAAAGAAGAAAAAATAGTTTCAAAAAAGGGAAAAATTACAGTTTTGCCACCTAGGTTGAACACTACATTGAAGATGAGCTCCTCACTGGAATTGGCGAGGCAGTGGCAGAACTGTTCGCTTCTTCATGCAGAGCCTTTCCATTTCAAAAGAACTTCAGTGGCGTAAACACCGTTTGTGCTGTGTCCCCAGCCTCGCTTTTCTTCTTCCCACAAATTGAGGCTTTCAGTTAGTTGGACCTATGAGCCTACATCAGAGAACATGGCACATTCATATCAAAGAGAGCAACTACATTTTGAAAGGTTTAAAATTGTGACTGAAACGCACAGCTATGGAAATTCTCAGCATAAGGAAGAAGCATCCAACATCAAGGTGTTAGGAGAACTTAGATCACCTAATGGAAGTGTGCAATTGTGTTTGCAAGGCAAAACAATGTATTTCATAAAACTTCATTTCCGTATCATTCGCAAAGGGTAAAAGTGTAACCCTAAAGTAAAATAATTTCCAAAAGGCAAATATATAAAGATATTCCCCCTTTAATGCTTTAACAGAATTAAATTTATCTACTCCCTATGTGAATGCAAAATAAGCTAGGTTAAAGCTGCTGTTGACCAGGAGAAACCAAGTTTCTGTCTCTCAGGTTGCATTAATCCAGAGCTACCTGACTAATTTGTCTTCTTGATTTATTGGGAATGGATGGAACGTTGATGATGGCTGAACTTGATGGGAGAGAACTGAGAATTTAGGGAACAAAATGGACTTCCATGCAAGACCCTGCCTCATTCATTGTTTCACAGGACCTGTTAGGTTTTAATTAGATGATAGTCATTCCCCATGCACTGTTCAGTAAGACTTCATACACATGATAACTGGTCTTTTTAGGATATAAGGACCCACTAGTATCTTTTTTGTGTCTTTTGGCAGTGAGATGGTTAGGTGTTTAGTTCAGGGTTTTTGAATCCAAGTGAAGAGAAACATTGACCTTCAGTTGACCCTAGAGCAGAACACCCTGTGCTACCTCTACACTATACCAGGAGAAATCAGGAGATGGGGTTTTTAAAGCTACCCAGATCCCTCAAATTTTTATGAGTCAGAATAATTAGAATTTTAAAATAATCTTTCATCTAAAGGTAGAATAGATACAATGCAAAGCATTTTAAAGACATTGGCTATTCAAAGCTGAGGAGAGTAATGAACTTTGATGCTGCCTGAGCATCAAAGAAGCACCTACCAGCACCCCTCAAAACCTGTTTAGCATTACATGCCTGGTCCCCACAGATCCCGTGGGATGTACTATGGTATGTTGTGAAGATTGGCTCAAGCTGATGAAGATTAAAGACTACCACACTGTTTATTAAGCAGAGTAGGAAGTAAGGAATCCCACGTGGAAACATGAGTCCTCTCAGCTTTCCAGTGACCTGAAGTAAATTGGTTAATTCAGTATAATTATCTGCTATTCTCATTCTGCACAGTACTTTTTGTCAAAAACATGAAAATTAAGTTTAAATGTAATTTTATGTGTTATCATTCAAGAAAGTTTCTTCATTTTACCACAGAAAGAGAGGCCCTGGTTTCTAGAACAAATTCTGTTAAGGTAATTCCCAAAGATTGATTTCATCTAATAAAAAAGCTGAGGCTTCAAGAAACATAACGCAAAAAACCTCTTCAACTTCTTAAAAAAATTTTTTTATATTTTATTATTTTTATTTTATGAGTGTATTGCCTGCATGTATGTGAGTGCACCCGAGTCATACAATGCCACGGAGATCAGAAGAGGGCTTCAGATCCCCTGGAACTGGAGTTAAGTTCGGTTCATAGCTGCCATGTGGGTACTGGGAATCGAACCCAGGTCCTCTGCAAGAGCAGTCAGTGCTCTTAACTGCTGAGCCATCTCTCCAGCCCCCAAACCTCTTCAACTTATAATTGCTTTATTTTTATCTTTACTGTTGAATACCTTTGGTTATTGGGTTGAAGAAAGGTTTCCATATTTTTAACAGTCTTCCTTAATAAAGAATGATATGCTTAAATTGTCAGGGAGAGGTTTTGTTTTGTTTTGTTTGTTTTTAGTGTGATCCAGTCATCCTGTAACATCTATATTCAATTAGTAGAGTTTCCTTTTATTTTTAACTTTTTATTTTGAAGTAATTACGGATTCATGGGCATCTGTAAAAATAGCACAGAGAACCCTATGTGCCTAGCTTCCCCACTGGAGGTACCTTCTGTAGCTGCTGCAGTCGTATGCAGCCAGGTGTTGGGATTAGGATAACCCTCTCAACTAAGTGGTAGCCTTTCTGTAATCTCCAGTTTCACTGGAAAGCATTGCTTTCTGAATCTGGAGGAAAAATAATACTTTCTGAAAGGTGTATCTGAAGATCTTTGTTTCTAAAGTCAGTGGACTAAGGCCTTTAACCAAACATTTTTTCTGATATTAACTTTTATTAAAAGTAGATTCATAAAGCCTTGCTAAACTTTACCAAGAAAACCATGAACCATTACAGAAGGCTTGAAATTAAGAGAGCACTGCTAAGAATTTTCTTAATATAAGAGATAAGTGTTACTTTTGTCATTTCCATGAAACTTGATCAGTGGGGATTCAGAATGTTCTAGAGAATAATTTCTACCTTTCTAAACACTTATATTCATATGTAAAATGTGTTATGCTCTAAGTAGCAAATGACTTAATGTAGAAATGTTAATAAATGTTAAAATTTAATTGGGGCTGGCAAGATGGTTGAGCAGGTAAAAAACACTTGCCACCAAGCCTGATGACCTGGATGTGATCTCCCAAGACCACATGGTGGAAGGAGAGAAGCAATTCCCTCAAGTTGTTCTCTGATATCCGCAGTGTACACACACACACACACACACACACACACACACACACACACACACACAAATAAATAATAAATGTAATTTAAAAATTTTAACTCAAAATTTAATCTACTCTTGACTATGCTTTTAGAAAGATGAAAACTTAACAATTAATTTGCATCCTATGTAGAAAATGGTGCAAAAATAATATTTTTTAAATGTCCTGGCTAATTTACTGATTGTGAAATGAAACTTTAATTCTAAAATATTTAAATTGTGAGTGGTGCTACAACTTAGTTGAAAGATCTGGTTATTTCAGGATGTTTTAATGCATTAGGAATGCATTGAAATTATGTAATCAGGACTTAAATACTTAGGATTCTATTTTAAAGTACTTTTTTTTTTTCCGTCTTTTTGAGACAGGGTCTCTCTGTAGCCCCAGCTGTCCTGGAACTCACTATGTAGACCAGGCTGGCCTCAAACTCACAGAGATCTGCCTGCCTCATTTTAAAGTACTTTTTAATGCACCAAAATAATCCTTTTTACATAAGTGTCCAAGTCTATATTTAACTGATATTTGACTATATCAGATTATTTTAAATGATTGTTTCTTTGTGTAATGTTTGAAATATTGTGTCTAAAAACGTTTTCAGAAAGAAAAAATGACAGAAATACTCTCTATATTCAGCCTGTTCACATTTCAGTTCATGGGTAAATGCTGCAACAAAGTTAACTTACTGAGCTGAGCATGGCGGCCCACGCCTTTAGTCCCAGCACTTGGGAGGCAGAGGCAGGCGGATCTCTGTGAGTTCTAGGCCAGCTCAGCTAGACCAAAAAAAAAAGGAAAGAAAGAAAGAAAGAAAGAAAGAAAGAAAGAAAGAAAGAAAGAAAGAAAGAAAGAAAGAAAGAAAGAAAGTTGCACTTACTGTACTGGTGTCCGCTTTCTAGAACTCATGTTTATTTGCACACAGAGTACATACAGTTGCAAGAATGCAATTGAAGTCTGTGGTTATTTGTTCCCACCTCCCAACTATCTTATGTTTCTAATTAAACAATTGATTTTCCTTTTGACCCTCATCAAAAGATTTGAAGTTCATATTTTAGTAAAATAATAATTAAATACGTCTTGTTCAGTGAAGTCAAAAGACTAGAAGTTTAAAAGTGCTTAGCCTTTATTTAGAGAGAATTGTTTTCTTTTTAATTTTGTCTCAATTTGAAGATTATCTGTAACCCTGAATGTAAGACTGTCAGTTTTCTTACCAGGACACCTACTTTCCTAGTTTTATACATAGCCTCATCAAAATCCAATCAAATTCAATTTAAAGTTTTCTAGTTGTAAAATGTCTTTGGCAGGCATTTCTAGGGAATAAACCTTAGTGCTTTACAGCCCAGTAGCTCTCCACCCACTGGCCTCCACCACCTTCTGCACTGGGTTACAGGGCTTTATGAGTTGTTCTACCACTGATGCATCTCCAACCCCAGAGCTCTCTTTATAACAACTATATTAACAGCCTATACTCTGCTGAAAAAAGTCAGAGAAATTCGACTTACCCACACACATCATATTTCAAGCCAATGTAACATTGTAATATAAAGCCTAAACAGATTAATATACTGCAGTGTACATATGCTCAGGCATGACCATGCTAGATGGGGTGATGATGCAGTTTAGGTGCTTGCATTTGTGCATAAACAGCACTGAGCAGCTGCAGATGAAGCCTGGTAGAGGTAGGTCAAGTTAATGACTCTGTTCTGAGATCAGCAGTCGATGGTGACAGCCCTCAGAAATGGTTAAGTTTTGAATAATGCCAAAATCAGTGTGCCTCTGATTTATTTTATGTGGTATTTGCATTCTTGGAAAATTCAATGTGTTTTGAAACTTTAAAAATATTTTATGTTTATTTGTAACTCAGTTTCTAAGTCAAGAAAATTATTAACCTCTTTATGTGTTTACTTTGCTTAAAAAAATGTGCACAGAACATTTGAGAGTTGGTGGATTGCAGCAGAGTTCTTAATCATGTAGGGCTTTGTGGTATCCTGAAGGATATCTACCCATCATTTATTTTTATAGTGCTGAGGACCAAACTCAGTGCCTCACATATGCTAGGCTATTCTGTTGCCCTGTCACTGAGTTACAGCCTGGCCCCTTAAGTCTTTAAAATAAAAATTCCTCCTCAGGATAGGGGCATGGCATGTTCTATGAGAACCATGGCCATAGAATGTTAGACTAGGATTGATCCTCACAAGCTAATTTATTTTATATCATGTCCATTACATTATAGGGGTGTGACCAGAGTAAAGTCATAATATGATCTGAATGTCACACTTACTGATAAGAGAATGCAGAGTTCTTTAAAATTATCTCTGTGATCTGTGCTGAAGATGTTTCCAGAGTTTCATACCCATTACCCAAACTAAACTGGTTTCCTAGTTACCTGGTCTATATGCAGAAATCCTAAGATTCCTATAAAAACATAGTAACAAATTTTTTATTTAGAATGTGGTGTTACATTCCAACTTGCCCCTCACCTACTGTACTTTCCTTTTGACTTGAGTTGTGTTTTGTTGCATTTGTCATGCTGAATTTGACCTCGCCATCTACTCTTATTTTCATATGAAAGAGAAGTATGAATCTTTATAGAGATTTGATATTACAAACTGAATCTGAATGTAAATTCTCCCCTGCCATATAATCCATGAGATCTTTAAATTTCATGTCTTGTTTATGCTCCTAAATGAACTTTTATGGCCCTTCAAGTGGTTTTTACTTGTCTTAGTGAGTAAATCTGTCTTTTCTTTGTTTTTCTTCTGTGTTGTAGAGACTAACCATTCCAAGCAGTTGCCCAAGAAGTTTTGCTGAATTATTACATCAGTGTTGGGAAGCTGATGCCAAGGTATATTTATTTATTGTTCAAACTTCTGAAAGTTCCTGTTTGTTTTTGAGCTTTTAAAACTTGGGATAGCAAAAAGCATTCCACAGCCCAAGTGGACTGCCAACCCTGTAAACCCCACGCTGACTGCTATGGACCCGAGTTGGCATCTCCTTATCTTCACCTCTATATCAAGAGACTTTATTGACTTTTTTTTACAGCACTCATTGGCATTCTTGACTCACTAAAAACAATTTTGTTCTTTTACTTTTAATAGTGACCATTGTACTTTTATGTTATAAAAACCTGATGCACACTTACTGAATGTGAGGCACTGCCACAAGCATGTTATGCTAGCTCATTATTCCTGTGTCTCTTGGACACAAGCATGCACTCATTCTCCCAGGTGGAGAACCTAGGCACACACAAGTGAAGTACTGAGTCAAGACCACACAACTAGTACGGGTGTGGCTGGCTGTGAACCCTGACAATGTGGCTGACTCCTTGCTCTGAACCTCTTCTCCGTGTTGTCTTTACTAACCAAGGAGCAGGCAAAAGCAGTACTTCTAGAGGATCTTTGAACGCTCTCCTGGCCAGCTCCAGGGATGTTTCTGTGCTGTCACAGTGGAGTTGGAGAAACTCCAAACCAAGGCTTTCTTGGGTTGATCATATTTGAACATGAATAGCCCATTTCATTTCCCTGGAAGATCAGTTACAAGAATATTCTTGCATACATATGGAAATATTTGCTGTTAAAATGACAGACTAGGCTTAGATTTACTCCAAAATAAAGTGAAGGGAAATGAATGGCAGTACAGATTAAACACAATTGGCAGTGATATTTTTGAAGCTTAGTCACAGACCATATATATAAAAAAAAAATTGGACTTTTCATAATCAAAGGTTAAAAATTTTTGTGTGTATCTTTTTGAGACAGGGTCTTCCTACAGCCCCAGAACTTATTTTGTAGACCAGGCTGGCCTCAGTTCCACAGATCCGCCTGCCTCTGCCTCCTGAGTGCTAAACAAAGGTTAAGTTTTTTAAAAAGTGTCTAACATTCAAGGCCAGCCCCGTCTACACAGTGAGTTCCAGGACAGCTGGGGCTACAGGGAGACCCTGTCTCAAAAAGGCCGAAAAAAAAAAAAAAAGTGCCTAACAGATTAAACAGTAGAAAAATTGAGCAATTATATTCAGGAAAGAAAGGAAAGTTGGAAATTCACATTTGTCTAGTTTTTAATGGCAGTAGAGGTACTCTGCTCTTTGAAATAAAGACCTAAAATTTTTTGAAAAAATGTAGAATTCTAAAATTCTAACTTAATTTCTACCATTTCCAGTCTGAGCCCCAAGAAAAAAGAATGATGACAGCATAGAGGCTGTTCTTGTGTAAGATGCATCTCCAGCAAGAATGGCTTAAAACAAACTGGGCATGTGGCCCGCACTGGTGTAGCACAGAGCTCATGTTGATTCATGCAGAGTATTTCCCAACACATCGTCCTGCACTGAGGCCAAAGCACAGCAGTGCTGCAGCACCGGCTTGTGCTGGGAATCCTCCGCCCCACGTGCTCCTGCTTTCCTGGCTGGAAAGACAGTTGAGCCTCCTCAGCTATGCGTATTCTGCCTTTGTCCTGGTGTCCAGCAGCCTCAACCTTTGCTTTCACTTGAATTCTTCAGACTTAACTTCAGCCTCTTTTCAAGTCAAATCTTATATGTACTTAGTATTGTTTTTATTAAAGAATGTGACTTATTGCCGGGCGTGGTGGGTTTCGCCTTAGATCCCAGCCCTTGGGAGGCAGAGGCAGGTGGATCTCTGTGAGTTCAAGGCCAGCCTGGTCTACATAAGGAGTTCCAAGCCAGCCCCACTACAGGGAGACCCTGTCTCAAAAAGACCCCCCCCAAAAAAAGAATGTGACTTGTTTAGAACTGCGAGACTTAGTAGTAGCATAGGATTGAATGGTCTGCCTCTATCACTGTTTACCCTCTTATTTTTAGTGAGTAATTTTTGTAGAATGTAGAAGTTTTAAACATTAAAAGAATTGTGCACTTCACAACTAATAAGCTGTAGGGAAATGTTTATAAGCTTGTTTTAAAACATTTTGGAAGGGACTGAAGAGATGGCTCAGCAGTTAGGAGCACTGGCTGCTCTTGCAGATGACCCAGGTTCAAATCCCAGAACCCACATAAGCAGCTAACAACCTAATAACTTCAGTTCCAGGGGATTTGACGCCCTCTTCTGACCTCCGCAGGCATCGCATGACACTGGGGCACTTAATATACATGCAGGCAAAACAATCATATGCATAAAAATAAATTAAAAAATATTTTTTAAAGTTTGTAAGTTGCATAATTTATAAATACATAGTGATTTTGTAGTGTTCCTTTCTCTGATACTTAGAGATTTTACCCCAAATTATTTACATTGATTTATAGTAATGCAACTACATGTCTAGAATTATAATTATATTTCAATATGATTTAATTTCTTAATTGAAAATATTAATTAAAATCCTAAGAATTAAAATCCTAAGAATCCTAATACTTGCAGTACATTGATTAAATGATAATATAAACACATTATGCAACAAGCAAGCTAAGCCCAGAGTGAAAGGCATGAAATTGGCATGTCTTTCACATGTAGTATGCTGACCCTGTTAAGGACTAAAAGAATCTTGTGTTTCAGCCAATTACAAAGAAAGTTTAAAATTGTTTTTTGTCTCTAAGTTCATATCATTTTATTCTGATAGAACTACTCCAGGGACTTAGCATTTGGTTTGATTATACAGCCGGCTGCGGCTTCCATTCCCATCACTCACTGCGGACCTCCAGACACAGCACACACAGTTCATTCTGAGCCTGCTCTTTCTCCTGGAATACTTCATGGAGCCATCCCTGGTTACTCTGTTAATCCTTGTCCAAACTCAGAAACCTTTTCCAAACCACAGACTGGGTTACTGCCCTGCCTTGTATTGTGAGATCTTTTCTTACTAAATAGGTTGCAGGTTCTATGAGGGAATATATGCATGTCCCTGTAGCACATTGCATCAGTAGTAAGTAGATACAGAACCATACCACGGCCAGTTTCCTGAGGAGCATGTTCATTCTCTCTGGTCAGAAGCAGCTGCCAGTTCTATGCATATATGAAGAGTGATGGTTAAAATATCTGATTTCCTACATGAAGAGTGATAGTTAAAATATCTGCTTTCCCTTTTTAGTCCCTAGACTTTACAGTATTAACACTTAGAGTAAAATATTCAGCTTCCATGGAGGACTGGTATTCTTTGGCAGTAAGGAAGGGAGAAGTACAGGAGAGAAAACCAGCATTGGGTAAATGGCAGGGCATTCTAGCGGCGTATACCAAATGCTCAATTATTGTGACTGGAGATGTAGCCTAATTGGTAGGGTACTCACCTAGTATGCAAGAAACCCTGGGTTCAGACCCCAGCCCTGCATAAACCAAGTGGTGATTCATTTCTATAATCCTAGCTTTCAGGAGGCAGAGAATCAGAAGTTCAAGCTCATCCTCTACTACATAGTAAGTCCAAGGCCAGACTGAGTTATTCAAGACCCTTCTCAAAATATATAAAAATAAAAGATGAGTATCAGTTTAAGTTTGTTTTCTTTTTTCCCCAAAAAACTATGTGCCCACAGGTCACATGCATTTAACCCAGCAATTCAGGAGGCAAAGGCAGGTGAATCTCTGTGAGTTTGAGATCAGCCCAGTCTACATAGTGAGTTCCATACCAGCTCAGGCTACAAAATTGAGACAAACAAATCTGCATGCCTCCAGCCCCGCCCTCTTGGTTTAACTCTTAAAATGACATTTCTAGATAAGGAAAAGGAATAGATCAAGTCATGAATTGATGGCAATTGGTATCATACCATTTTGTGATAAAAGATGTGAAGTTTAAAAAGAGAAATGAGATATGGAGATGCTTAATGGTCCAAGGTGTGATTTTTTTTTAAAGATAAGCAATCTCTACATAATGCTCCAAAGAAATATAGCCCCTCAGAGAAGCATCCATAGATCTTAGTTTAATGGCACTCTCTGTAACCAGAATACCCAAAAACATCCCTGCAAAATTCTACGTTGTTGTTGGGGCATGGGGTGTCTCATTATTTTGTTCAGGCTTGTCTGAACAAAACAACCCTCCTGCCTCAGCCTCCCCAGTAGCTGAGACTACAGAAATATGCCACTGTGCCCAGTATGGCTGCTTTATCAATGCTCATCTTAATAATTTCTGAGAGTAGAGTCTAACTATAAAGGCACCAAGGGGTCTTTTGGGGGGTGGGGAGAGATGCTTGTTATCTGATTACAAAAGTCTTACCTTATTTTAAAAAATAATTAAATATAGAGAAGAATTATGTTCTTTAAAAGTTTATTAGCTGGGCTAGGGATGTAGTGTAGTTGGCAGAGTGCATACCTAGCGTACACAAGGCCCTGGGTTCAATACCCAGCACTGTATAAACTAAGCATGGTGCACATGCCTATAATCCCAACACTCGAGAGGGCAGCAGGAAGATCAAAAGTTAATCATCGTCAGCTACATAGAGTTCAAGGCAGTCCAGAATGCATGAGACCCTGCCTCAAAATAATAATAATAATAATAATAATAATTATTATTATTATTCATTGGCTCCTTTTCCTTTCAAAATGAAAATTATGCATTTATTTTGTAATTAATTCATGTGCAAACAATTACAGCTTTTTTCATTTGAGACCTGCCACTTGGTCGAGGAAATGAAAATGGACAAGGTTAGAGAAGGCAGTTTTTGTGTTTCCTACTTAAAATCATTTCCCTTTGTTCATTAGTAACATTTGACTAGATCTGCCTTCTTACACACATATGTACAGTGCATTTTACACGCATACACTTTTATGCAGGCCCTTAAAGCAGAGCAGTAGTAGCAGAACTCAATAAATATCCTAGTTTTATATTTCTGAGCTATGGAAGCGTTGGCTTTAATAATGTCAGAAGCACTCAAGTCCCCAGAGCGAGCCACCTCAACATAGCTCCTTCTTGTTTTGTGCTCCTAAATTAAAATGCGTGTTTTAATTGCTGGAACTGTAATTTGTTCTGAAATGGTATAATTATGAGGCATGATGAGGAGAGAATGTGCATCATCCTTTTATTATCTTTCTCTGTTTTTGTTTTAACCTTTTGTCTCAGCCTTGGCTGAAGTCTAAAAACATGGGCATAGACAGCACTTGTTAAAGAACAAGCCTTAGCACTGAGTTCTCGGTGTCCACTTAACAGCGCTTTGTAGGGTCCCAGCACCAAAGCCAGTTAGTGGGGGATAGACCTTGAGAGTAATGAAGTTATTATGGCCTTAAAACTGTTTCATTTTCTGCCCAACTGATTTGAGAAATTTTATTAGTTCCAGTAGGTTGATTAATTCTCCCCCTACCTCAACATTTTATAAAAACATTTTCAGATATCAGACAAGTTGAAAACATTGTGTTGAGATATACCAGAATGCTTAAAGTCTATAACCTACTATTAAGGTTTTACTAGCTCTGTCATACAGGTAAATTTTTAAATGACCTAAGGTTTTCCTTATAGAAGTCCTTAATCATACCTCACAGAGGGAATTAGTGCTCTCCTTACCTACAAAAAAAAATACTAATTATTCCTAATTATCCCACCCCCAAGCCATATGGTAAAGAAAATCAAGAAGCCTATCCTTATGAATAATTAATTGAAAATAAGAATATGGTTCCCTAAACCTGTGTTATCTGATGGTTATGAAATAACTAAGTCAGAACACTGTTGTGTTCTGTTGGTTTGGGGTTAAGCTTCTGTGCTCTGGTTTCTACATTTTTCTCTTAAATAACTCGTTTCTTTTGGGGTTTTTTTTTGTTTGTTTGTTTGTTTTGTTTTGGTCTTTTTGAGCCAGGGTCTTTCTGTTGCCCCAGCTGGCCTGGAACTCACTGTAGACCAGGCTGGCCTGGAACTCACAGAGATCTGCCTGCCTCTGCTGGGATGAAAGGCATGTACCATTATGCCTGGCTATAACTCCATTCTTAAGTCCTCACAGTGGTTACTTTTCTCTCCTCTTCAGAAACGGCCATCATTCAAGCAGATCATTTCAATTCTGGAGTCCATGTCAAACGACACGAACCTTCCTGACCAGTGTAACTCGTTCTTGCACAACAAGGCAGAATGGAGGTGGGTAGTCCCCGCCCCTGGCTTAGACAGCCCTTCCATAGATTCCTTCCATAGATTCAGTGAAGAGAATCAGACACTGATACTTTGATCACAGTCCTGAGCACAGCTCAGAAGGAAAAAATAAAACCCTCAGGAATTTTAGTCCTGCATTCATATGAAGGCAACAGCTTCTTTTCACTTGTTGCCTAAGCATATGTCTAAGTATGTGGAAAGAGTATTTGGAATCCTATCTTCTGAAACAAAAGGGCATTTCTAGACTTTTCTCTGTACCAATTCTGTTTTATGAAACTTTGGCCTCCGTCCAATAAAAAAATAACTGCCATGCTAGCCTTGTAATTTGCAGAGCACTGTATCTGCTAGTCCAAGGTGTAGGGAAACAATGAAAATACTTTGAAAAGAAAACTTTGGATGTTAAAAATCTTAGTAAAAACAAACTCAGTAACAAGAGAGTTGTATTGTGTGAGTAGAAAAAGTAAACCCAAGATGAAACTCTTAGACCAGTCACATGATGCAGGGAATATAAATAGCATGTTTGGAGCAAGACACTGTTCCTCCCCTGACTCAGCAGAGATTTGAAGTAACTTCATCTCTGCTCCCAATAACCATGGCAGTAACGTGACGCCCTACGCCATCTGCTGATGCCAAGTGAGTACTGCAGGCCATTTGAGAGTCACTGGATCCTTGACTCCTTAGGTTTCTGTTTCATTGGTGTTTTACCTTGTTTGTTTTCGTTCCTCTGAAGTAGCTATCTAGGACCAGTGAGTTTCATGAATTTTCACCCAACAATACAGAATTAACCATGAGTTATAGTCTAGATACAAGAGGTTTTTTTTCTGGACTAAAATAACTAACAAAACATTGGAGTAATATTGTTTCCTACAGCAGCAGATCAATACACATGTAATCAGATCCACACACCCCTTTAAAATCCATATGTGGGCTCTTCAGGCAAAGAAAGAAATGCTTAAGATTCAGAAGACCCACTATCCAGCCTCATTTTAAGAGTTATCAGTTCTGTCCCTGAACTTCTGGCTTTCAGTTCTTGTACATTTTTCCCTCACTCAAGCCCCTGTGATGCAGTCTCCTCTGTTTACAGCCATCCTGTTTCAACTGCACATCCCCCTTAAAACCCCTCCCCCCAGCTCCCCCTGGCCATTCAGGCAGCAGTTGAGCTAGCACACATCTGCAAGGAGCATCCCCTGCCTCCAAGCCAGGTCAGTTATACTTGAGCCTCCGGTTCACTATGTTAATGTGTCTCATAGCTGAAGTGTTGAAGGAGCAGACAGCTCTTTTGTGCATCACTGTCTCCGCATCATCCAGCAGCAATTAGTAAGTACCTGGAGAAGGAAGGAAGACGACATCCATTATGCTGGTAGTAAATAAAAAAGACACTGTGCTCTTGTACAGGATAATGTGTAACCTGACATGTTTGCCGTGACAGAGTGCTTCTTCTGCTCGCTTATTCCTTGATCTGCTGCTGCTGCAGGAGAGGCTGGTGCTGGGCTGCAGTGATGAGCACAACTGTCCTCAGACAGGTGGCACTCTCCAGCAGGAGCTTCAGAATCATGCAAGGCTAAACTGCTAAATATGAGTGGACAGATAACTACTCGAGTACGGTTCTGACAAGTATGACAGAGAAGTGGGGGATGACATGAATTAGTAGGATTTTAATACTGTGAGTATCAGTGTGCTTGAGGTAGGACTTTTAAAGTAATCCAATAAAGAAAACAAAGCAAAGTTAGTAAGTTTTCTACAAAAAAAAAATGGAAATTTCCATATGGCCCAAAATAATGCCCATTGTAAATAAGTTTACAGGAGAAATGGCATCAAGTTACAAATTTTTTCAGCACTTCTCAATTGTTCGGGGCTTGGAACTCCTTTTCACTCTTTGAGGAGGAAGGGAATGCATGTGTGTGCAAGTACATGTACCTGTGTACTAAACGGAAAGAAGATGCCAGGTGTCCTGTACTATCACTTTCTACTATATTTCTTTAAGACAGGGTTATTGTACCTGGAGATAGGCTGCCACCAGCAAGCCCCAGGATTTCCTGTCTCTGTTCCTCACAGACAGCACTGGGATAACAGAAAAAGCACTGTCTTGCCCAGTTTGTAATCTGGGTGCTGGGATCCAAACTCAGGGTCTTACGCGTGCACAGCAAGCACTTTTACCCACTGAGCCATCTTTACAGCCCCTCTGTTTCACTCTTAAAATTACTGAGGATTAGTCAAGTGTGATGGTGCACGCCTTTAATCCCAGCACTCGGGAGGCAGAGGCAGGTGGATCTCTGTGAGTTCAAGTCTAGCCTGGTCTACATAGTGAGTTCCAGGACAGCTGGGGCTACAGGGAGACCCTGTCTCAAAAAGACCAAAAAAAAAAAAAAATTACTGAGGATAGGCTGGGTGTGGTGGCACATGCCTTTAATCCTAGCACTCAGGAGGCAGTGACAAGTAGATATCTCTGAGTTTGAGGCCAGCTTGGTCTGCATAGCAAGTTCCAGGCCAGTCAGAGCTACACAACAAGACTCTTGTCTAAAAAAAAAAAACAAAAATTACTGAGAACTGCAAAGAACTTTTGTTTAAATGAATCATTTCTGATAATAATTATATTAACAATAGAACTGTGAAAATATTTTAGCATATTTATCAATTCATTTTGAAAACAGTAATTCATGGGGCTGGAGAGATGGCTCACTGGTTAAGAGCTCTTGCTGCTCTTCCAGAGGACTGGAGTTTGGTTCCCAGCACCCACATCAGGCTGCTCACGCTTGCCTGTAACTCCAGCACTAAGGGGTCCAACACCCTATTCTAGCCTCTGCAGGCACCTGCACACATGTGAACATGAATGTACACACACATACACATGCAAATTTTTTAATCTTAAAAATAAATTCCTCTTCTACATTCAGCCCATGGTCTTATATGTCATTAAAAACAGCTCTGAAAAATGCTACATTCTTATGAAAGAATGAGAGTAGAAAAGGCCAATTCTGTTTCAGTGCTATCCTGAAAACCAATCAGGCATCAAGAATCCTCTGAAAAGTTCTTTCATGAATCTCTAGACATGATAGAGTTACTGCCTTGAAAACAGCAATTTAATTAAAATTCATACAAGTAGACATGAAAATACATTTCACAAAAAGAAATTGGCACTAGCATCAAGTAAACAAATGACAAGTGCTAGCAAGGATGTGGGGAAAGAGGAACTCAGGGCTGGTGGAAATGTAAACTGGTGTGGCCACTGTGGAAACCAATATAGAGGTTCCTCAAAAAACTAAAAGTCAAACTACTATATAACCCAGCTGTAGCACTCAGGTATATACCCAAAGGACTCTAAGTTAGCATATCAGCATATCCATGTTTATTGCTGTGCTATTCACAATAGCCAGGAAAGGGAGCCAGCCTAGATACCCATCGGCAGAAGAACAGAGAAAGAAAATGTGGTACGATGGAATTTCACGTCATAAAGAAAAATGAAATCATGACATTTGCAGGAAAATGAATAGAAATGGAAATCATTAAGTGAAATAAGCCAGACTGAAACAAATACCACATTTTCTCTTAGATGCACTGGAACACACACACACACACACACGATCACCAGGCTCATTGGCATGTGCATATAATCCCCCATAGGCACCTAGAAGGCAGAGTCATGCAGATCCCTGGAAATCACTGGCTGGCCAGCCTAGACAAATCTGTGAGGTTCAGGTTCAGTGAGAGACTCTATGTCAAAAAAATTAAATGGAGAGTAATTGAGGAAGACATGTGTCATCGATCTCTGGCATGCACACACACACACACACACACACACACACACACACACACGCATGTGCAGCCCTACAAAAACATATGTAAGCCATGCACAATACAATACCACACACAAAAATTTATATGTGTGTATTTTTGTATGTGTGTTATGTGTAGCTTACAAAACTAAAACAGGGTTCATGATGAAGAAGAAGAGATCTTAAGGGGGTTGGAAAAAAGAGAGGGCACTAGAATACACCTGGTAAGAAAGAAGAAGTGGGGACTAACTGGGGGATGTAAGGAGCATGGAGGAGGGCAGTAGGGAAAGGACGAATGAGAACAAAACACAACGACATATATGTCTGAAAATACCATGATGAAACCATTACTTTGCTAACTTAAAAAATTAATTAAAAAAGAAATCAAATGACTATTAAGCATATGAAAAATATTCAGTCTCCCTTGGCAAACAAATAAATACAAGGGATCAGAATTCATTTATCAGATTTTTTAAAATTCACATTATAAAAAATACCCAGTACAAATAGGCTTTTCCATTCATTGTTGATAAGAGACATTCGTTCGTTTCCTGCAGGACAGTTAGATGCCCTAAAAAGATTCAAATGCTTTGTCTCAGAAGTCCTTTCACTACAACCTTATTCCATAGCAAACCAATGGGAAGGATCTGGGAAAATGTGTGTGCATTTGTTCAGACAGCCTCATTTGGAGTGTCAAAACCAAAGATGGGACTCTATAATTCTATAATAAAAGGAGAATGGCTGGGTGTGGTGACACCTACCTTTGATCCCAGTACCCCTGAGGCAGAGGCAAGGGATCTCTGTGAGTTTAAGGCCAGCCTGATCTACATAGTGATTTCCAGTGCTACAGGAAGACCCTATCTCAAAAAACCCAGGGGAGATAAAAGGAGAATGGTTTTCAAAACTGGTGTTTCCATACACAGGATGATGCAAACCACTCATGATTGCATAGATCCAACAAATAAGTTTCAAATGGAGGCTGCAGGCTACAAAGATGATTTTTTTAAATAATGTGTATGCATACGTGCATGACATCGGAAAAGCATCAGGTCAGTGGCATCACTGGTCAATAGCATACAGAAGAGTGGTTCTTGTCTAGCTTTTTCTCTACATTAAACCTAGATTATTTGAATGATTAACTTAATTTTTAAAATACTTCAAAGTGAAAGCCAGGTGTAGTTGTACATGCCTGTGGACCTACCTCAAGAGGCTGAAGCAGGAGGATCCACAAGTTCAAACCCCACTTGGGCAACATAGCAAAATCCATCTTAACAATAAAAAAAACTCAAAAACTTCAAGATGAAAAATAAGAGAACTGATAATAAGAAATGGGGAGAATGCCTTGATTAGTAAGAGAGAAGCAACTCCAGGGGCGTTCTCGGGCTCTTTCAGGAGCTGTTACCTCTGCTTTGAGAGCTGAAGGAACACAGCCAAAGACCACAGTTTGAGAGGCAGCAGAGCTGTTGGAACTAAACCTCACAGCTGGTTAAAAACTCAGGGAATTATATCAGTTATAGTAATAAGCATGGTTATTGTTAATTAGGTTCCTCTAGATGCTTGTACTTCATTTGGATGATCTTCCTTTTTTAATATTTTATTTATTATTTTAATTTTATGTGTATGAGTGTATTGCCTGCATGTATGTGAGTGCACCCGTGTCCTGCAGTGCTGCAGAGGTCAGAAGAGGGCTTCGGATTCCCCTGGAACTGGAGTTAAGGATGGTTCGTAGCCACCATGTGGGTGCTGGGAATCGAACCTGGGTCCTCTTCAAGAGCAGTCAGTGCTCTTAACCGCTGAGCCATCTCTCCAGCCCCGGATTATCTTTCTTAATCGCCATAGCAACCCTAATTATGTCACGGATGCAAAACCTGAGGCCTAAGTAGCTTGGGTAACTTGCCTGGGATCATACAGCACTGAGAGGGAACAGGAATGAGGCCAGGTGCTGTGCTGTTACTGGACTGCAGCCGTTGGTCATGCTGGCTACCCATTAACATGCAGAATTTTTAATGGGCTTCTTTTAGCTGAGAATCACATTTCAGGGCATGATTATTTTAGGTCATCATTCTGGCCAAAAGACTGTGTCATTCAATATGCCATGTGTCAGAAAGAAATAATGTAGGTTTTTCTGGATCATCTGTATTTCAAAGGACAGTATATTCATACTACTGGTTACTTTGCCTAACTTTTACCAGATGCCTAAAAATCATATCACCAGGGTCCAAAGACTTTCAGCAAATGGGAGTCACAGTGAAGTGTGATTCCAGGCTTGCTGTGGTACTTGCAATTGATGGCCTTCTTCTCCACATAGGCCAGATGAAATACCTACCTTTAGAAAAGGAATGAAAACCCTCTGTAAAACTAGAATACTAAAAATCTACATAAACTATGTGAGGAGAGAAGGGGAGTGTCAGGCATTTCTCAGCTTATCAAATCTTTGGGTGCCCCTCCCCTTGTTGGCTTAGCAGTACTGGCAGTCAGCATTCAGACAGAGCCTGTGTCCTCCTGCTAGTCCTGTTTTCAGTTGCTAACCCTTAGGGCTGTCAACAAACCTAGAGCAAGTGTGCATGAGTGAGTTCCATGGGGCTACAATGGACCATTGAAGTTTTGTCTGTTAGCAAAACACTTTATTGGTTGTTTTTTCTTAGTAACCCAAATACTGTCACTATGACATACCTTTTGGGAATAAAGCAGAGATCCAAAAAATGTAATCTTTACAATCTGAATATTAGCACCAATCATGTGATACATAGCACTAATTTTAATATACATGTACTTATATAATATGCCTTATGGCTGTTTTTGCAGATTGATCTTTGATTTCAAAGTAAGAATCTGATGAAAGAAAATAATTACAGCTCATTGCCTATCCAGGGGAAAATTGACCCTTGTTGTGATTAACCTTGGTTAGATTTGGTTTGAGAGAACTGATTTTCACTAACTGTAATTTTAGAATGGGAAGGTTATATAAATGTATCAACAAACACATTTGATGTGAAACAGTGTACCACTTAAAAACAAAGTGAGTGGTGCCTTTATATGTCCTTGGGTTTTGGTCACTCTCTCATGCCATATAACCTCAGATCCTGGGGTGCAAGAGGGAGCAGTGTTGGGAAGGTAGGCTTGAGACAGGTTGAGGAAGAGTATCTTCCCAGTTGCTATTTGTTTCTATGTCACAGATTTCAGCTTATGTTGAATCTGTTTGTCAGAAGGGCTCAAAAATCACAGTGGGCTCCCTGAGCCAGAAGATGAGCCTTGGATTTAATAACAAGTAAAACAGAATGTGTTGACAATATACAGTAATTGAAAAGAGAACACCAGTGGGATTAGTTTCCCTGCAGAAGAATTGGGATGAGCTTTTGAGAAGTGTCACACAGACAAGGGGCCCAGGCCATCCTGCCTCTGAGTGTGTCCAGCTCTGGGATCTCCTTGCTGCTCTCTGACCCTCAGTGGCTCAAGGTGGCTCCTTCTTTCTGTTACAGACATTTGCCCTATCAAGGATTAAATTTGAATTTTATGACAAAGTCAAATTCTGAAAGATTTTGCCTTAGTGCTTTTTCTTGGGAGTGTGCTATGACCCTTCACATTTGTCACATGGCCACAGTGAAAGGGATGGAGCACACAGCCTTCTTGCTGAAGAACTTTACAGACAAGCAAGGAAGTGAAACTTTGAACCCAAATCCAGACCCACCTCCAAACTGCCCCTTGAGTTGGGCAACTCAGTTTTTATCGGTTAGAGCACTGAAATAAGATGTCAAGTTACTCTGAGTTTCCCTGGAAATCCAAACAAAGGCAGGTTTGGTTACATATATCCATTAACTCAGATCTAGGGGCTTATGCCTTCTTTCCACCATCAAGGTCTCAGCTGTGACTATGTGTAGCTCAAGGTTGTCTCAGTGACACCTGTTGGCACTAATCAGCAGTAATCACTGAGTCCCTTCAGAAATACCAGAGATTAAAATCCCTTGGCTTTCCTGTCCTTTATCCTTCTAGTCTTTCTCTTTGTGCCTTTCTGGCCTTCCTCCACTTCCCCCTACCCGCTCTCATCTCTCATTACTGTGGCTCATTTAAAGGCTCTTCAAAAACTCAAGGGGGAGAACTTCCAGTTCTCAGAGCATAAATTTAGACATTAACATTGTGACAGCCCTGAAGGAGGAAAAGTTTGTGCTGAGCCATCCTGCCAGTTCCAGTTTCTATAAAGAACAGTTTCTATTACTGGGCATAGTGTTCCAAGTGTGAGATGGTTGGCCCAGCAATGAGGGAAGGAAGTTCCTTTAAGGATTATCAGAATTTAAAAGAATTTCAGAATTTCTCTCACCCATGGTATCATATGCTTACCAGACTATAAAATTACCTGGGCTTGTTATTAAATAGTGGAAACATCCAGGCTTCACTCAGCCTACAATTCATGAGCTCTTATAAGGGCTTATGAATCTATGTTTTATTGTTTTCAACAAGCTGAACCAGTAAATCTTAAGATGAGGCATGTTGTAGAGCCCTGACATCATGTAATCCCTGCCTCTACAAAGAAACTGTCAGGTGAACCAATTGATTGCTTGCATTTCTCAGCCACTAGGTGGGTACGAGTGCCATCTCGGTCACTTGCTGACACATGCTATTAATCACATAACCTGTGTGTCGTTTTCTCATCCATAATACAAGATCAGTACCTATTTTTTGGAGCTGTTGTGGAATTAAGATGAGATACTATATAACAGGACTTTATAAGATGTAAAGCTTTATTAACTGTAAGCATTTACTAATTGCGAACCCAGGACATTAGCTCCCAAACTTATGCTGTGTGGGCCCCAATAGCTCTTCAGTGCTCTATTGAAATACTCCTAGGTTGTTTTTCCCAACTAGAAAATGCCTGCTGATTTTTAAGACTATGAAAGAATCCTATTTCTCTGGCCAGTTCCTGGTCAATTTCAAAGCCTACACCTTAGTTTTTAATCTGGTTAGCATTCTTATGGACCCACTGAGCACCCAATTTTCCTTCAGTAGAGTTGAGACTTAATCAGTTATCTCTGTGTAGGTGTGAAATTGAGGCAACCCTTGAGAGGCTAAAGAAACTAGAGCGTGATCTCAGCTTTAAAGAGCAGGAGCTGAAGGAACGGGAGAGACGGTTGAAGATGTGGGAGCAGAAACTCACAGAGCAGTCCAACACCCCGGTGAGTACCTACCCGGTGGCTTCTCGAAGCACTTAGGAACCTGGCTGAGCATGGCAGCATGGCAACGCTCCTCCCCACCCCTGCAGTTTCCTGCCCTGCATCTGTGTCTTAAAGGCCTGCATTTGTAGTTAAGTACTAGGAAGCACCAAAATGCCAGAAATGTCAAAGAACAAGCCTGTCTGCTTCTGGCTCCTTCCTTAAGAACTGCCCTTCTCTTTGTTTTGGTGTGTTAGAATTACAAAGTAAAAGCTAATATATTTTTGTGCTCTGCCCTCCAAATACATGCTCAAATGCTGCTATTCAGCATTGCACTTAGAGGCCGTCAGTAATCGGTAACTATAATCCCAAAGCAGCCAAGAACATCTTGGGTATGTCAGCTTTACCACCTTTTCTTTATAAAATTGAACTGGCCTCCTGACATAGATGACAAGCATAATATTCCTTCTTAATTTGGTGCTATGATCATGGGCAGCGTAAAATGGTCCAAAGACTTCTCTTGGGGCAGGTGGCCAGGTTTTCTCTACTAGGAAGACTTTCATTTCTTTCCAAGTCTAGAGGAACATAAAATTCTTTTTAAGGATTTGCTCTTTATATACTACCCTTGAACTCACATGATATGTTAAATATTAAATTTCATTTCAACTTTCTTCTCTATTTTAAATGACTTATTTTTAGGAAGCAGCCATAAGCTTATAATTGATTTTTCTAGGATTTTTAATGGGCAATATTTGTCCACTTAAAATCACAAACAATGCTGGTCGTGGTGGCACACACCTTTAATTCCAGCACTCAGGATGCAGAGGCAGGTGGATCTCTGTGAGACTGAGGCCAGCCTGGTCTATATAATGAGTTCCAGATTGGCTGGGGCTAGGGAGACCTGTCAAAAGACGAGAAAAAAGAAAAACAATTCACCAACAATGATAGATTAAAAGTAAAGTTATTGACAGTTATACCAAGAAAAATGTTCAATGCCCTTTATTTTGTGTTCCTCAAAAAGCTTTCCTATCTAGACAAATCTTAATCTCCATTAAGCAGCCAGTGCCCTGTTGCAAAGTATTTTCCAGTATCTAAAGAACAGAATATTTTGTCCCGTTTCCAATTTGTATGGAGAAGCAATCTGATATCTTTCCCATCCCTCAAAAAAGAGACTACAATGCATTTAAATGTTACAGATTCTTTGGTAATCCAGGGAATCCCAAGATAAGAATTGAATTGCTTTATATAAGACTGTCATGGGATCTTACAGAGGTACCATGCTCGATGAGCCCTGTGGGTTTGACACTTAGGGAAGGGTAGAGGGAAGTTTCCTGCTCAGATTGCGTTGCTGCCACCAAGGCAGACTCTGGAGCGGCACCCAGGGTTCCACTCAGGAACACGGCTTTCTCACAGGCAGATGAGAGCAGGAGTGAGTGCGGCCTTGTCTCTACAGCCCATCTGCTGAAGTCTGAGAGGTGGTTTTGTTTTGCTTTTCAAGTGCATTGAAACCTTGAGCTGTAAAGCACTGCGTGGCTTGACTCCTTCTAAATGTGGTATTGTCAGAAAAAACTTCAAACCGCCTATTAGAGTATGCTTTAGAACCTTGCTTTGGTTTATTGCCATCAGTTTTGCTAAGAAATTATGGGCTGCCTTGCACACATTATTGCTGCCGGGAACACAGTTGTATAATAAATAATAAAACCCTATGAGTGCTCAGTAGGTCATATGCTTGCCTTTTAACTCCAGAAAACTTTGTGTAAAGAAAGTTCTCTGAAGGCTACCAGCTAACAGTGGGCGGCAAGAAGCAGTCGCAGTGAGAGTCCCTCCCTCTTTTACTTCTGAGGCCCAAGTTTTCTTTCTTTTAATACTTTCTTCAATGTCTCCTCTGCCTAGAACTGATGCTTCTAAGGGGAATCAATTTTATACTTGGGTATTTTATAAGTACCTGTTGTCTTTTATCCTCACTTCAGTTTCTAGTTGGCTTTAAACAAAACTGCTGAAAAAAGATAAATCTTTTTAAAAGGAAGTGGAGACTAGGCCTAGGTGGGTGTTTTGTTGGTTGGTTGGTTTAGGTTTTTGGCTTTTGTGGGGTTTTTGTAGGCAGCCTGATCTTAAAATATAAACGGTCTAACATTTATGTAACTGTATAAAAATATTATCAAATTGATTTTACAGATGCTATTTTCTTTCCTAAAAAGAAAACATTAAAGATATTTGGAAAGATGAGTTCTCTATGCACGAATAAGGATAATACTTATGTTTAATTGTTGTAGCTTATAAAAATCTTATGAATAAAATCTTATTTGAGAAATACTTACGGAGCTTGTTAGAGTCTAACACAATGTAAGAAGAGACCTCAGCAGTAATAAAATAAATAAGCAATAAGGAGTTCCCTAGAGTCTTGACCAGTTGGAACATCCGAGAGGCTGAAAAGGGTGACTGCAAGGGAAGGTACTCCCGTTCTGATGTGTCAGTGTTGGGAGTAGCTTTGTTTTCCATACACTTGGGATGCCTGAGCTCTCAACTCCTGAGCTCTTTACCTGATAGAAGGAACTTGTTTTTAAACCAAGCTCCAACATTAATTGAAAAATGAGAAAAGCGTGCTTATTGTACAGGCCTAATGACCTAAATTCAATTTCTGGAACCCACAGTAGAAGGAAAGAACCAACTCCTGGAAATTGTCCTCTGACCTTCCAATACATACCGTGGCATGTATGCATCTCTCTGTGTGTGTGTGTGTGTGTGTGTGTGTGTGTGTGTGTGTGTGAACAAACACACTCAAACACACAAGCACAGTAATAAAATTAAAATTAAGCTGGGCATAGTAGCATATACCTTTAGCCCCAGCACTCAGGAGGCAGAGGCAGGCTGATCTCTGTGAGACTGAGGTTAGCCTGGTCTACATAGTGAGTTCCAGGCCAGCTAGGGCTACAAGGAGACCCTGTCTCAAAAATAAAAAAAAAATTAAAATTAGAAAATTGATACTAAGGGGGCTGGAGACATGACTCAGCAGTTAAGAGCAATGGCTGCTCTTGCAGAGGACCTGGGTTTGGTTCTCAGCACCCACATGACAGCTAACAACCGTCCATAACTCCAGATCAGGGAATCCAGTGCCCTGTTCTGTCCTCCTCAGGCACTGCATGCACATAGTGCAGTTACATACAAGTAGGCATGACATTCATATACATAAAAGGAAAAAAAAGAAAATTGGTACTAAATATTAGGTGCCTTTATATCCAGAAAGCAAAGTTCATCCCAGAGTTGTATTGGTTGTACATTTATCCATATGAAAAGTGCAAGGGTTAATTTGCTTATTTCTCAACATAAGAGGCTATAACATGTTTCCATCTCCTGACAGTTTACCATAAAGTGAGTATGGCCAAACATTATGGAATAATAGGTTGGCTGCTGAAAATAATTACATAAGAGAGGGAGCAAATATTTGTCACTACTGTGAGAAAGAACTCATAGACAAAAGTTCAATTAAAAGCAGGAAAGGTAGATATTGGAAGATACAGAAAAGTTACAAGATATCTGAGTTAACACTAATTAATACTTACCCCAGTTTTCACATGTGCTCACTGTGCATAACTTAAAAGTTAGAGACAGAATCTAGAATTTATTCACAAGTGAGTTATTTAATACTTTGAATAAATGATACAGCATCAGATTTGGCTTTAGTTAGGCATAAATGAAAGCTAATAAATTCTAAGCTTATTTCCATTGTACATTTCATAATACTGATCCAGTGGAGGAGGTAGAACCTTCCAGACTTTTGCAGAACCATCCTGACCACTGGGCTGTTCTTACACTTGCTCCCTCTGAGCTTTTCTTCCTTGGCCCAGGGCTGCTGCTGCTGCTACTGCTTTTTTCTTTTTTTTTTAGCTTGAGAATTAGTCTTTGCTTAATTTATTTTTTTTAAAAATTAACATAATGGTTAATTAAATGTTTCTGTATGGAAGTGAAATTGAGAAAAATTAAGAGAATCCTAAAAACTTTTGTTTTAAGCAAAATAAGAGCTTAAAACTTGTACCTGTCCATTTGAAATCTGGCTTGCGGTGGCACTTTGCAAGGTTTCAGTTATGATCTACTCTGTCATTCATAAATTGTGGCAAATATGCTGGAGCCAAGAATGCCATTAAATGAGTCCTCATATCCCCTGCACTCGGGTATTTCACTAATCGTTTACCTCCTGTGTAGTACCAACTAATTTTGTGGTATCTGTTCTCCTGATTTAAATTGGTCCTAATTTCTCTTTTTACTTCTGTCCTTTCTTCCCCCTTGATAGCTTTTCTTGCCTCTTGCTGCAAGAATGTCTGAGGAGTCTTACTTTGAATCTAAAACAGAGGAGTCAAACAGTGCAGAGATGTCATGTCAGATCACAGCAGCAAGTAACGGGGAGGGCCATGGCATGAACCCAGGTCTGCAGGCCATGATGCTGATGGGCTTTGGGGATATCTTCTCCATGAACAAAGCAGGAGCTGTGCTGCATTCTGGGATGCAGATAAACATGCAAGCCAAGCAGAATTCTTCCAAAACCACATCTAAGAGAAGGGGGAAGAAAGTCAACATGGCCCTGGGGTTCAGTGATTTTGACTTGTCAGAAGGTGATGATGATGATGATGATGATGATGATGACGGTGAGGAGGAAGAGAATGACATGGATAATAATAGTGAATGACAGCAGAATTGAAAATGCTAAAAAAAAAAGGAAGAAGAAGAAACTGTCTCAGTCTGTGCAGAAAGCAGCATAAGGAGGCAGAACACCAAGCACTGTGTTTAGGTCAAGCACATTTATGTGGCAGTTTCCCTCTCTCTCAGTTTTACTTTTGATTTATTTTTGCTTTTAGAAAAGGGAGGCCGGGGAGGGGGTGGATTAAGGCATATTTATGAATCAGCAATTGTGGTGCCTGATTATAGAAATTGTGACTGTATACACAGCATAGTGTGCTTAAACTAAAGACATTCAGGCCTTTTTCTTTTTTTAATGAATGTTTTGTAGTTTGTATTTGACTTTTATTCCCTTTATCCGGTTGGTTGAGAAAACATACATTTTGAACAAGTACTTCACTCCTAATTCTTTGACACTTGATTCTTCTGTAACACACTATGGTTTTTTTTTTCCTTGTGACAATACATTGTAATGGTAGAAATGATTGATAATGACTATAAAATCCAGCCACAAAAAAAACAACCAAGATGAAAGAAGGTTATAACAAAATGCTTTCAGAAATATCTAAACACCAAGAATTTTCAATACCAAATAGCACAGCTCCTCAAACACTATTCTCAGTGTAACATTTGAAGGAAGAATACTCTGATTTGAAACAAGCAGCAGATGTTGCATCCTCTGGAAGCATCTAACAAGAGCATGCTGTCACCCAAGGTTCAGTTTGTCCTGTACACAGAGGAAGATATGGTCTAAGAGATGATTCCAGATGATTCTAGGCGTGCACTCAGTCTGTTCCTTACATCCAGGAAAAGATTTCTATTTATTTATTTTCCAGAGGTGCATAATAATCCTAGAATCTGATCTATGTATAGAAAAAAATGAATATTCTATAAGGAGTAGCAAAGATAAATTATCCCACTTAGGCACAAGTACATTCTGAAGGGGCCTTTCTATGTTAAATCTAGCTATATAGTTGCCTTTTAAAAAAAACTATGCCCTGTAATGCTGGTATTTCAAGGAAATATGTATAGATGTTACAGCAGTGAAGACCTGGCTACCCAGAGGTCCTCTCAGAAGACCAGCACAGTTGTCAAAACTTGCTTAAACTCTGAAGTTCTACAAAAATTATAATTATATAAATGCAAAATAACCCAAAGACTTTTTTGAAGTCTAAATCAGAAGAGTATCATTCTACTGTAAAACTGAAATACTTTTGATGGAATTTTTTATATATGAAAGTTTTAAGAAAGAATAACATTTGGTGTGGTGGCTCACTTGGAAGCTGAGGCAGGATGGTTGTGAGTTTAATACCAGCCGGCCTGGGCCACTGAGCAAGACCCTGTCTCAAGAAAGCATTAGAGGTCATATATTATTATTTCTAAGTTTGTTTGATCATAAAGTCTTTTGGAATTTGAGTTAGGATATGCTTCTAAACCTCACTGTAAACTGAAAAGTCATACCTGAAATGATCAGCACATTCTACAGCCTGATTGGGGCAGAAATAACTACAAGAATGTTCTAGGTGTCTGCTTGCTATACAATCTTAGGCAAATTATTTAATCTCTGTGAGCCTGTTTATTCTTTCTTAGCATGACAAGAATGCTAACCTTCTTCAAAGGGAATGTTGAAGGGATCAGAAGAAAGTGTGTAAAACATGCAGTATTGAGCAGGACCATGGCAGGTGCCTCTCAACAGCAGCTACTATTAATTGCCAGGTAAAAGGCACTGAAAAATAAGTGGGTTCAGTAGCCTTCGGGAACACTAAGCTATTGATTTCAAGTGATACTTGTTCAGAAGCATGAAATTAAGTTTAAAATGGATAGCTTTCAAGAAAAATAAAGAGAACATTCTTAGAATATAAGCTGTTCAAACAGGTTTAATTCAGTTGCCCTTGGAACCTATGTGCCAGGGCCAGGTACACCTGTCTTTAGGTGTTTGCAGGCTGGGTCCCCACGCACAGACTGAGTAAACACAGCAAAAAGGTGAACTCTGTCTAAGATGGGTCCCCCTCATGCCCATTCTGCTGTAATTCTCTCTGCATGCATATACATACTCCAGATGTACAGCCAGACCACTTGGATAGAAAACCTTGGAGTGGAGCAAAAGGGATGCCTTGCAGCTCCTAATTTCCCAGCATGCCATGGGGACCTGAAGGAGAAAGTGGAAGATACAGTGTCTTAAAGCCTCTTGCACACCTGCCCAGGCAGAAATAGTCTTTCATTTAATAGATTTTCACTGGGACCCTGTTGTACGCTGAGTTCTAGGGAACAGCCAGGTGATAGTCTTTACACTCACAGATCGTGCATGCTAGTGAGCAGGAATCAACCATCAATAGAACATGCATCATATACTATGCTAATATGTGCTAAGTGTATACTGGAAGATGAAGCAAGGAAGGAGGAGGAGGCTGGTGGGAGAAGAGGTTTTCAAAGTAGTATGGTCAGGAAAGGCCCCTCTAAGAGGTAACATTTGAGCAAAGCTGAGGAAAGTGAAGGGATCTCTGTGAGTAGCAGGAGCTGTGCCCTGTGTAGAAGATTGTAAACCTTGCCCCCCACTAATTGGAGCATGCTTAGAACATATAACTGGGCTGAAACTAATATTTTTTCTTAATTTATACATAAATTCATATGACTCTCTAAATTTTTAGTGCATTAGAAACAATCAAATTGTAGGGGAAAGTTACTGGGTGGGCTCTGTACCCAGAGTTGGCTTACCATTAATATTTCCCCCATCTCTCAACTGCTGCCATTTTCCCCCACCAACGTTCCAGACATGCTCCTAGCTATATACTCTGTCAAGAAACCACGGGATTTAGGAACCGCTGGACCAGCCTTGGTGAGAAGCATGCAATTGCTCTCCTTCTGGAACCAGACAGTTTGGCACTGGCTGTTTTTTTACTGTTCCAAATTCGTGTCCTTCTAGTACGAAAATGTTCAAACCTGAAGTCTCATATGAACCAGATTCTATAATGTTCCCACACGGTCTGTAAAAATTACCAGAGGACCTTGCATTCAATTAATTTGATAAAGAATATCTGTTAGCCACATGCAGAATTTCTAATGATATTAACTGGCAATACCTAATTCACTTCTCAGATCAGTTTTTGAAATGGCAAATTATCAGTGTTAGATTTAGTCCCAATTACTTGACTTACAAAGGTATACACTTCAAAAATGAAGAGTTAAATCCTGAGAAATGTAAAGGTTCAGAATGAGAGTTGGAATTCTAAATTATGGTAAGAATTGTCAGTCATACAATTGAAAATATCACCTTTTACCTTTTGTTCTTTACTCGTAAAGTTGAGTGTGTAGGATTTGAGGGCACCTGTAGTGGTTCTCAGCTGAGAAGTACTGTCATCTAATGGGGTACATTTTCAGTTGTCACAGTGACTGGGCCAGCATTTACTGCCAAGACCTAGTGGTGTCTTGCTTACTAGGGACAGTCCCATCCTGGAAAGACTTCCATCTAAAATACCAACAGCATAGTCCCCTTCCCGCCATGAAGCTTGTTAAACTTAGTGGTTGTAGAATTCCATCTTGTATTATTTTTTTCTCCAAACAAAGTTACACCTGTAAATAAAATACCTTTTCAGAATGGTAAGTACACCTGAATTTTGTTAAGTTCGTGGTTTTATCTCAAATCACCTTGTGGAAATGATTTCTTCCCCTTAAGCTTACTGGTGGGAACTTTATGAAATAACTGAATTCACCTGGAGGGAGGGGTACACAATAGTAGAATTTATTGAGGTGGCTATAGTTCTGCAAAGTGGCCAAGTTAGTTTACAAGCCCCCTTTCCTAATCCTTTTTTTTTTTTTGCAGGAGGGAGTCTTTTTGAGACAGGGTCTCCCTGTAGCCCCAGCTGTCCTGGAACTCACTATGTAGACCAGGCTGGCCTTGAACTCACAGAGATCCGCCTGCCTCTGCCTCCCAAGTGCTGGGATTAAAGGCATGTGCCACCACGCCCGGCCTCCTAATCCTTTTTTAAAGCAAAATCACATTTTAATATTTAACCCAAATAAGCAATGGGATAAGGTTAAAGGCATATGGTGCACTGCTTTTGAAGCTCTGGAAATATTGAGAGCTGGATTTTAACTAGTGACTTTTTTTCATGTGCAGTGAATTTGTCACATTTTAAACACCAGCTGAGGTATTCAAACTCAATCCCCATTAAAAATCAAAGGGACTGGGGGGAAAGAGGGTGTTTAGGAGAGACCCAGACTGCTTTCCCTTAGTGTTGCTATATATACAACTTTGGTTTTCATTAAAATGGTAAGAGTTTACTTTTTAAAAAAATGGTTTTAAAACTTAGTCTGAGTTAAATTTTTTTGTTATTGTTGTTACACTAGACTTGGGCAGCCTTGTAAAACTAGCAGACTCTCACATACCACACGGCCAGAGTAAAGCTTAATCCTTTCTATAATCAGGCACCTTCTGCTGCTTTTGAGGAAGACTTTTCCTGTGTAGATGTTAAGCGATGTCGAAAAGGTTCCATTCTTCCGGTTGTAGCATGACCTGACAGCTCTAGGCATAGCATTTCTGTCAGGAAAAATGAATGTCTATCAGGAAATCAGGGGCTGGCCATGTTTTCTCAGACCCCAGCTTTGTGTGCACTCCATTGCCTGTGAGGAACTTTCTGGCATGTGATTATTTCAAAACTAGAGTTTCAGGCACCTACATTAACTGTTTTGTATCGTGTGCAGAATAGTATATCTTTTGACTCAGATGTGATACACTGCACATACTGCTTTTCACTCTTTAAAAAACTGTACTGTTAGAAAATATTTATATTCTTTGAGTGTGAGCTTTTAATAGATGGCATTATCACTTTGTTTTTAACAAAATTTCTCTCTCAGTTATTCTATTGCAATGTTATTATGAGCAAGTCTTATGCCAAATACCGTGTATAATGTTTGTATGGAAGATTAAATTTTGCTCTTGTGTGGTAAGACTATTCAGTCACTGACTTCGTGGTTGGAATTTGATATTCTGGCACAAAGTCCACAATGTATTCAGAAACCTAAGTTGGTGTCATACATTTCATTTTGATGTGAACTTTTCTTCGCTTTCCTTTGTTCTAAGACTCCATTTTGCAATAAACGTTTTGACAGTAAATCCCTTTGTTATGTGTCACTATGTACATAAGATCTTTGTTAGACTGGATTCCCAACATCCTTTGAAGAAATCGGTGTCACACACGTGCACATGAGTGCTAGCTTTGCTCTACTAAAGTCAGTTGGAGTGTAAATAATGAATTTGTAAAGTGATAGGGCAGTCATGAGGGATTTTTTTATTTTATTCCCAAAGAAAACAGAAAGACTTAGAAGTCAACTACAGTCGATAACACCGATATGTTAACAAGGTACAGAAAACATAAAGGAGATGATGAGCCACAGTGTGGCTGGAGATCATTAACTCTTATCCCATCTACCAAATTCAAACCATCTTGCAGCAGTGCCTGGCTCTGTCCCTCCTGTCACTGATCTTTGCAAGCATCCTGCAGACTCCTGCTGGAGGGAGCTGCAGGGTCCAGGGTTTTTCCGTGCATCATGATGATGAACCAGCCACAGCATGACAAGAACTCTACTCTCCTTTGCACATTAAAACCAAAGATGCTGGTTGTTTCATTTGCAATCTTCATTCAAGAAATACTTATTTCTCAATTTTGTTTAGCACAATGTTTGAAAATTATATAAAAGTCAAAACAGCATACATACATAGACACACACAAACACACACGCATGCACGCACACGCACACTTCCTGTAAAGGCCAGTCTTAATACAAGGAATTATTTCTATAACACATCTTGCTGTTTCTTGAACTAATCAGAAAGTTCCTTATTTCACATTTGTGTCCATGACGGGAGAAGGGAATGGCAATGTTTCTGCAGCTGTATCCAGCTGCTCTGTGAAGAAATCAAACTTGACATGTATTTTCTTTGATCAAGTTCAGCTTCAGATTTGCTTCTCTCTCATCCGCATTATTAAAGCAGGTGAGTGTGCTTGGTGACTCCCACATAGCTTCTGTGTTTCAGAGGAGGAAGGGGGCATCCATGGGGGATTTGAAGTGCACGGGGGAACAGAATGTATGGAGAACAGTACTGATTTAAGCATATGCTTTATGTCCTTGCAACTTGCATATAGTACCCCAAGTCTGCACAGTCATGCTTATTTTAACAGCTGGTTTTTTTAAATCCCACTCTGCCACATCCAATATCTGCCTCTTTTTTTCTTCCAACTCAAGCCCACTTCATCCTGTGCTCCAATGAAGTGAACGTGACCTACTCACTCCCCATGGCCAGTGTCTTGCCTAGTTGCTTCTTCTAGAATCATCTCTCTTTTTCTGGGCCTATACAGCTTAAGATGCTTGCCTTCCATTCCCCTGTAATATGCTACAGTACCCTTGTGAATATATCAATCTTTGTATGCCTATCAGCACTGAGCTCTATACCAAAGAATTTGGCAACTGAGTACATACATCCTTCAATTTTATTCATTCTACAAGATAGCTCAATTAAAAAAAATAACCAGGTAGGGATAGGGAGATAGTTCAGTTGGTAAAGTGCTTACCTTGCAAATATGAGGCCCTGAGTTTGATGTCCAGAATCTATGTAAAAAGCCAGGTGTGGTGGTCTGCACATAGAATCCCAGTGCTGCAGGGGCAGAGACAGGCAGATCCCTGGGGTTCACTAGCTAGCCAGCCTAGCCTACTTGGCATGTTCCAGGCCAGTGAGAGACTTAGTCTCAGGAAAGAAAAAAAAAGTGAATGATGCCTGAGGAACGATGCCCAAGGTTGGCCTTTGGCCTCCACATGCATGAACACTTGCAGGTATACCCCCACATGAACATGCATTCATGCACACATACAAATGAACCAAGTATTGTATGCTAGACACTAAATAAACTATGACAGTGACTTCCTCATGTATAATCCATACCTGTTTTACTCTTAGCTCTAGTAAAATTCCTTATAGGGTCTATATCTTTCCTAACAGTTTTGAGACTTTGAACATGATCAATACTTCTAAGTGAGAAAGATTAGCTCGCCTACTGTGGTCACACTAATAATAAAAGCAACCAAATTCAACTTCTTTTTCTTTTTTTAATTCTTCATGATTTTCATACAATGTGTCTTGATCACATCCACCCCCATCAACTTCTCTTTTCCAATTCACTCACAAAAAGTACTGTTTGTAACAGATGTTAGGTGACACTTTGGCATGTTTTCCCATAAGTGATCTAAGTATTTAGACAATTCAAGCTAGTTAGAGCTAATGGCTATGCCACACTCTAGCCCGCAGGGCATAGACTTTGTCAAGTTACATATTTGTTAAGTAGACTATGACCATGGGGTCCCATGGAGTGAGAGCTCTTTAGCTGTGGAAACAGCACAGGCTGACACACTCAGCACATCTTCACTCCTGCTCACGTCATGGGCAAGGGTCTTTTAGTCTGTGTTAGAGCAACTTGCACCCAGATTTCAAAGACCGTTCCAGTTTCACATGTACTGCTTCCTCCATGCAAGTGAGGTATTTAGATACTGAGGAATCCCCTTTGCAGAATAGGCTAAAATAGGCCATTTGATTACCGAGTGGTCACTTGGAAATCCCAGTGGTAAATGATCCTCCGATTGGCCAAGAATTCTAAAGCAGGCTCTGGTATCTGGTAAATGTCAGAAATTCCTTGATTCCAAGGCCCTGCTATAAGATATAAAAACCAATCCTGCTGAGCTACATACAGGAGAAGATTATACTAAGTTGTACACAGTGCCCCTGAAATAGCTCACAAAGTAGAATGGATTGCTGCCAAGAATTATGTATAAATCAGCTTCCAAGGTCAGAATCCTTGGGGCACTGAGAATAGCCTCTGGAGGTTGAGGAAACTGTTTTCTACTCAGCCTAGCCTACCAGGGGATGCAAGTCAGAGCAGCAACTGAGAGCTGGGATGAGAGGGTAAACCAAAAACACAGTGTTACCTCCTTTTGTTCATTCCGTTCATATCTCCCATGCAGCTGCTGCCTTCCTTTGAGATTGGCTCATGGACTGAAGACGACGTGGTAAGCTGCTTCTGTTAATGCCTCGTGGGATCTGAGCAGGAAGCACACAAATTTGTCCACAAATTTAGAAATGCAGTTAAGAGAGATTTGGGTCTAACTGGCAAGTAGATACCAAACTCCTCTTTGGGCAAATTGCCAGGCATGGTGGTTGCACGCCTTTAATCCCAGCACTTGGGGTGCAGAGGCAGGAGGATCTCTCTGAGATCGAGGCTAGCCAGACCAGTGTACAATGGTCTGCACTGTAAGTTCCAGGTCAGCTGAGGCCACAGGGAGACCCTGTCTCAAAAATTAAATAAATAAATAAATAAATACAATAATGATGGAAAATAAGGATGCAATAGCAAAGCAAGTATCTCCTCAATCTTACAAGGGTCCCATCTTCCTAACTATGAAGAATGCTCCAGTATAGTATTACAAATAACAAAATTAAAGCTATGACCCAGGAAATCAAACACACCTAAAATGCCAGGTGTAGACTTGAGCACAGAGGCGAGGGATGTGACGTGGGCAATGACAGGCTAGAGTTCCCTGCTAGAGTTCCCTTCCTACCTCAAGCCTGCTCACTAAAAGCCAGACTCCAAGCTGCCATCCCTGCTCTGGCCCTCCCCAGGAAGAATGGGCACAGTCCTACCTACAGTTCCCACATCACAGAGAGGATGCAGGCAGAATATTTAATTCCAGAGTACATCTGAACTCTGGGTAGAATCAAGGAATAATCCCATGTAGCCTGTTCTGTCTCCATTTGTGTCCTTAATGGCAAAGCAGGTGTGAGAACTGCTGAGAGACCTCAGAGATTCACGTTTCTCTAGGTCCATTTTCCAAGCCCAAGGACATCATTAAATGAAGAAAAAATAAAGATGGAATGCTAGCTAGCCCCAGCAAGGATGAGCCCCACCTCAGGGAACAGGCTAGACATCCTACAGTGCCCTCAAGGAACAGACTCATGACTAGAAACTTAAGGAGATCCGTTCTGCAGCTCAGCCCTGTGGAGGCCAGGGCATGCTGCCTCTGCTCTTTGTATTCTTGTGAAGTCAAATTTCCTTCAGCATGAGGCAGCCCCAGTGGCTCTGCAGTGTGTCAAAGCAGGGTGCCAGCTCCCTCCATTTCTCCCCGTTCCTGGAGCCCCAGGAAGCTACGTCTCCTGCCAGCCCTGTCTCTGTATGTAATTGCGTCTTTCTTAGCTACAAAGTTGGTCCATATCCTTCAACGATTTGAAAGAACTGAGCTCTAGTAACTATTTTTAGTCTTTGTTCTGAGGTTGAGTGGCTCCCAAGCCATTTAAATAAAAGTCTAGTGTCAAGGGATTCAGGAAGTCAGAGTAACTAAGTCTACCTCCTGTCCATGTGTCTTCACCAGTTAATGTTAGGCCAAGCAAGACACCAGAACAGGGGATCCCCTGGTCTAATGACCTCACTAGACACAGGAAGCTCCATGTTTTGCCTTGTCCCTAGCCATGTGGCTGTTGACAGGCCTAGCACAGAATCCTCATTCTTGTCAATCCCTCTGTCCACTGCAGTGTGGTCCCTGTTACAGTTTCTGAAATTGGTACCCTTGGCAACCCACCACCTGCATATAAGTGGAAAAGTCACTGTAAGAACCCTCTAGAAGGCCAGGCATGGTAGTGCACACCTTTAATCTCAGCATTCAGGAGGCAGAGACAGGTGGATCTCTGTGAGACTGAGGCCACCCTGGTCTCCATAGCCAGTCCCAGGCCAGCTGGGACTACAGGGAGACCCTGTCTCAAATATAAAACAAAACAAAAATAAAAACCCTCTAGGAAAGTTTTGAAATATCTCCCAAAGAAGCCCGTCAACTGTTGGAGACCCTCTTTGGGAGAACTATCTTCAGTTTGAAAGGTTGAGATTTTAAGGCTTCAGAGACGAACTTTCCCAGCTTACCTTCGTGGCTAAGTTCAAGACATTCAAATCATTGAAAACTGTGCTTTACTGTTGAGAACAGGTACTGCCTATATGTGAACCTCCCAAACCATGTATGTCCTCTCTTCACAGTATTTTTGGGTTCAGCAGCTCGTCAGAAAAGGCAAGTAGAATAAATTAC